CCTCCTCGCTTCCTTTCGCTCGCCCTCCCCAGACGCTGCCAAGCTGCAGCGCCCATGAGAGGCCCAGTGGGGGTGGCGTCATGCGCGGACCCAGCGGGACCTCACACTCGCCAGTTGTTGCCAGGCGGGCAATTGTCGCCAATGTGTCGCGCCCCTGAGTGGTCCAGCGGAGTGGCGTCATTGGTCCAATGAATCGCGCAATGCGTAGATTAACCCATGAAGCGTTCACAAGGGACCAGTTGCAGATGAGCGTGGCATGTTCTTGGGTAAAGATTGACGCTACGCGTATCTTTACCGGCCGATCTGGAAACGATACCCAGGCGAGCTGTCGGGAGGTGAGAAATGCATAATTAGGCATATCGCGAGACAAAGATGCAGAACATACAGTAGTGCATTCGGAGACCTCTTGCATAGCCTCTTGGAGGCCCCTTAGAGGCATGGAGCTCTCTTTGGGCCCTTCTGGGAGCCGTGGGGGTACTCTCGGTGCTCTCTTTGGGTCCTTTCAGGGACCTTCGAGCACTCTTGGGGCCACCTCAAAGGCCATAGAGCACAAGGCGTGGATTGGCGTCAGCCCTCTTGAGCACGGAAGGTCGCCTTTGGGGTCCTTGTGGCGATCTCGGAGCGCCCTTTGGCGTTTTGGGTGTCGTCTTGGAGCGCTGGTGATCTCCTCCTAGGGCTCTCTTGGGCCATGCTGGGGCCATCTCGAGGCATTGAAAGCTCATCGGAAGCGACAGGGGGGGCTGGTAATAACCGTTGGTTTCCCAAAGGTTGTGGACGGATGTTTGAGGCCCTTGGAGGCATGCTCGTTCGAAAACCAGATTGAGCAATCAGGCCATCATGGACTATCTGAAGCGATCTTGGGCCACCTTGGACGCTCTAACCCTCTAGACCCTCCCCGCCCCCCTTGTCCAGAGACGTGGGAGAGTGCAGGGGGAGGGGTCAAGCTTCCCCCCTGAAGGACGGCCGTCTCGCTGACTCCCACCCGCCCCCCCTCCCACCACATGAGTATCATTCGAGTTTCGGCATCGGCGCCTCTGCTTTAAAAAAACATGCAGCTTGATCGCCTGGTGCCCGCGCACGACCCCGATGTTGCCGCAGCGTGCACTGGTTCTGTGGCAGGCATGGTTGGAGAGGTCGCGGCAACATCTGGAGAGGCTGCGGCAACAAAAATCAGGCGGGAAAAAACACACAGACACAATTAATCCTCGATTCCCCAGAAAACATGGGAAGATATGGGAAGGGGGGGGGGAAGACAAAAACCCAGAAAATATGGGGAAATATGGGGAATGCTTTGATTTGTGTATTTATTTGCGCGTCCCAGGGCCCCATTCAGAAAAAGCATGGTCGGAGCAGGTCGTGGCAGTGCACACCGCAGGCAGTGTGTCGAGAGAGCCCCGCGCCGCCCCCGTCGAAAAAAACAGGGCACGGCATGACCGCGAGGCGCCCGCGCGTGCTCCAGATGTTGATGCAAGATGCACTTCGCTTGGCATCGCTCGGACGTGTGCATGTTTTCCTCCGGCGAGGACCATCGAGGGGCATCCTTGACCATCTGGCGAAAGAAACACGCACGGAACCGAAAAAAACATAGGGAATGGACGCCCGAGCGATGGCAGGTTTGTACTGTTCCCAACCATCCTGCGGTGTCGGGTCCTCGTGTTGCAGAGACGGGGCCCCGCGTCTCACTCCGCCTCCTCGCCTCCCTCCTCATCCTCCTCTCCCTCCTCCTTCCCCCTCCTCTCCCCTCTCGTCACCCTCAATTTGGCGCACCCCCCACAACTGCATATGGTTGGGTCCTTCGCCAGGCTAATTTTTGTTGCATCGGGATGGTGGGGGAGGGGTCGTCGTGGTCCAGGGTTTGTCGCCGGTCGGGTAGGGGAGGGGGCGTGCATGCCTAAGAAGAAGTGATGAACTTCACCCGAAGGGAGAAGGAACAATTGGAAGCAGAAGCGCCCAAAACCCACCTCCGGCGAGAAGGCTGGCAGGATTCCCGGCGCTCGCCATCCAGTTGTTTACTGGCTGGACGTATTCAGCGGCGGCACGGCGGAGCAGGCGCACGAAGCGCTCAGGGCATCGTCCGAGGCGGCAGCACGCAGAGTTCGCGACGCCTCCCGGGGCCTCCTGAGCTCTTCGCCCGCCTGCAGGCCTGCGGCCCTCCTAGGATTAGGTCGGGCCTGCCCCCCTACAGAGGGATTTTCGATGAAAAATTAAAAATACCCCAAAAATACACCAAAAAGGCTGGAAAAATATCAAAAAATAGTTCCCAGACTGTTTTTGCATTATTTTTGGATTATTTGGGGGGTATTCTTTAGTTTTCGTCGAGAATCCCCCTGTAGGGGGACAGGCCCGACTTAATCCTGGGAGGAGGCCGGCCGTGCCGTGCACACCGGCACCAGACCTGCGAGGCCCACCTCTTGTGGGGGAAACGTAAGACTCGAGCAGTGGCGAAGCGTCCTGGCTCGCTTATAGCCCTCCCAAACAATGTTCTGAGAACCGTTTGTGGTTTCCACGAAATGTTCTTAGAACATTTCTGGCGGAGTCTGTCTTGTTTGAACACATCGGCTTATGTTCTAAAACGATTGCTTTTGTTCTTAGAACATTCTTGGGTTCTCAGAACATGTCGTGGTAGGACTATAGGAATGCCGGGACGGTCGGTCCCTGCTCAAAAGACTCGAAAGTACGCCAGGCTCGGGCTTGCCGACGCTTTTTGACGAGCGCGTCCTGGATCTTGACGGTCCAGTTCTCGTGGGTCGTCTGCAGCGAGAGCTCGCGTCGAATTGCAGACCCGGTTTCGGCATGTTCATGCTGGCCCCGTCAGGACAATCCGAGTCCCCCCAGCCCGAGTCTTGGGTCTCCCCGACTCGCTGTCGGCGGCGAGTACAGGGTGAAATGAGATGGGGGTGGCCTTCTCGGAAGGCCCGGAAGTCCCCCAGCCTTCTGAAAAGCGTTCTAAGTTCCCCCCGAAGACGTCGAACATTTGTCAGGAGGCCCGAGGGCATCTGAGAAGCCCCGCCGCCTTCTGAGAGGGCCTCCTCCTTCTCACTTCCCCCCCTCCCTCGCCGCCGACTGACATGACGGGAGGGAGAACCACCCCGACACCCATGATTGGCGTGTACTAAGCAGCCTTGGGCGTTTACTGGACAGCCCTGCCCTGTTCGATTCCTTCTTTGGGTGCGTTTACTGAAAGGCTTCACTTGTCGGGGAGGTATGACATGGGTGGTTACTCTGCTTGTTAATGTAGTAGACGCACTGCTTGCGATATAGTGGAAACGCATAACACCCTGCTTGCCTCCAGGGTGCCCTGGGTTTCTTGCGTTTCGCTGGGTTAGCCACGGAGAGCGTGACGTCCCCACACCAGAAAACAATGGAAGTTCTGGAGTTTCAGGGTGTCTCTTGTGAAAGGTTCCTTTCCGTCGAGCTCCTGCTGTACGATGCTGTGATCGCGCGTGTGCTTTCCCCCTGCGTGCGCTCAGACGTCGGGAGGAGAAGAAAACACACAGACACAATTCATCGTCGACTCCCCCGAAAATATGGGAAGATAGGGGCAGCGGGGGGGGGGAGACAGAAACCCAGAAAATATGGGAACATGTGGGAATTGCTTTTGTATTTGTGTGTGTGTTTATTTGTGTGCGGGGGCCCCCTCGAGACGAGCAAGCGCACGGCACGAGCCCCGCATGGCCAGGACAGGGCAACGCCGCCCATGAGCCGGCCCGGCCCGGCCGGGCCAGCAGGGCGCCGGCACTCGGCCACGCGCAGGGGAGGCCTTCTCGGAAGATCGGGGGCGGCAAAGAGGGGGGTGATGACTATGGGGGGGTGGATATCATGGCGCGGACCATGACATCTCCCCAGATTTCATGTCGCCTCTTCTTGTTTCATTACGTCCCTGGCCCCCCCGCTGGGCCGCGCACATACCGCCGGTCATGATTTGCACCCCCCCTCTTGGACACCACCATCTTGGCCGCTCCCGAGAAGACGGTGGGGCTTCTCAGAAGCCCGCCGGCCTGCTGAGAGATTCCCGGTGCCGTCGGGGGAGGCTCCGAGAATTCTTCGGAAGGTCGGGAGACTTCCGAGCCTCCTGAGACCCAGCAACGCGCAGAGGGGGCCTTCTCGGAAGACGGTGGGGCTTCTCAGAAGCCCGCCGGCCGTCCGATAGATTCCCGGTGCATTCGGGGGAGGCTTCGACAATTTTTCGGAAGGTCGGGAGACTTCCGAGCCTTCTGAGAACCAGCCACGCGCAGAGGGAGGGTAGGGGGAGGGGGGGAAGGCTTCTTCGAAGCACCCTGCTTCTTGGAGGGCGCGGGCCAGGTCTATAGATGTTGGGCCGGCGCCTTCTGAGAAGCAGCCTCCTTCCGAGAAGCCTCCCCCCCTCCCCCTACCGCCCTTGCGCGAGCCGCCGAGAGAAGGCTCGCCACCGAATGATGATCCGACCCCTCCGCTTGTGATGCTCCAACCTACTTTAGCCTCGATCACCAGAAAGAATTTCGAGCACCAAGAAAGTACCGAAATTCGATGGTTTTCACGTGTCGGGCCCTGGGAGACACTCGCCCGACGCTGTTTCGACACTGTTTCGTCGACACTCTTTCGGCACGTGTCGGGGTGCTCGAAATTAGTTCTGGGATGTGGTCCTCCAGTACGATGGGAGCAACATACAGTCAACGCGCCTAGTAAGGACGCGCGCCTTCATCTAGGATACCCTTGCGTCCTTGCCTCTGTGGCCCGTCCTTTGCCGTTTTCACTGGTCACCGCCGCCCAAAAAATCCAAATTTCAGCCTCCAAGGGTCTTGCGTCCTTACCACGCGTCCTTAGCATACGTTTTGACTGTAACCCTCCGCCTGGGTTCCGGGGGCGCAACGTTCCTCATCCTCATCCTCTTCCCTGATGCTTCCTCCTCCTCCTCCTCCTCCTCCTCCTCCTCCTCCTCCGCCTTCCTCCTCCTCCTCCTCCTCCTCCTCCTCCTCCTCCTCCTCCTCTCGAAGCCCACCGCCCCTCCGGCCAGAGGCCCCATGGCGGAGGCCCTCTGGCAGGAGATGAACCGCCTGCCGCACATCTGGGCGGCCCCGCCGGGCGCGGAGGCGGAGAGCGACCTGGCCCACAGGCTGCCAGGCTCCGCGGAAGGAGGGGGAGGAGGAGGAGGAGGAGGAGGAGGAGGAGGAGGAGGAGGGAGGAAGAGGAAGAGGCCAGGAGGAGCCCAGGGGTAGGAGGAGGAGGAGGAGGAGGAGGAGGAGGGAGGAGGAGGAAAGGAGGAAGGAAAGGAGGAAAGGAGGAGGAAAGGGGGAGGAACGGGGGAGGAAAGGAGGAGGAGGACGACGAAAGGAGGAGGAGGAGGAGGAGGAGGAGGAGGAGGAGGAAAGGAGGAGGAGGACGACGAAACAAGCACTACTGGGACCCTGCGCCCCCGGAGAGGAGGAGAAGGAGGAGGAGGAGGAGCAGGAGGAGGAGGAGGGAGGAGCAGGAGGAGGAGGAGGAAAGGAGGAGGAGGACGAAACCAGCACTGCTGGGACCCTGCGCCCCGGGAGAGCAGCCAGGGCCGCCTCCCGGCGCACACGGGGCGCGGCCACCGGCCCCACCGAGCCCGCGCACGCGAGCGAGGGCCTGGTCGAGAGACCCGACGTGATCCTCGTCCTGGTTTCGTGTTAGGGGTAAGTCGGGCCTGTCCCCCTACAGGGGGATGTTCTACGAAGAATTTAAAATCATACCCCAAAGATAGGCAAAACATAGTCCAAACATAGTCTGGGGGCTATTGTTTTAGTATTTGTTGTTACCCTTTTGGGATATTTTGGGGTATTTCTCATTTTTCGTCGAAGCTCCCCCATGTAGGGGGATACGCCCGACATAATCTTAGGGTGAGCGAGTTTCGCGCGTGCCCCGTGTTCTCCTTTCCCGACGGTGCTGCTCTGACCGAAGAGCGTGGGAGGAGGCAAGGCGGAGAGGAAGAGAGGTGCAGATGAGCACGAAGTCAAGCAGGAGGAGGGGACGGCCACAAGTCACAGGCTGCACACAGTGCGCAGTGCGGTCTGCAAGCAGCGTCGGAAGACTAGTGGGTCCTGTCATTGGCTACTTAGTCTTAGGGCCGCGCAGTCTCTTCAGCAGACCTGCGAGAGGAAGAAAGGGAGCGAGAGAACCACATCATGACATAATGGGATGAGCGTGGGGCCAGCGTTCCAAGGATGCCCAGCAGGTCAGCAACGGAGTGGCGAGAGATCAGGAAGAACATGACTCGCGCCCGAAGGTTTGGAACGCCTGCGCCAGTGCATCCGCGCCATCGCAGTCCTTGCCGCGTCCAAGTCCTGAGTCATCGCGATGCTCTCTGTTTGCGATGTCGACTTGGTGCCCCTGCAGCGGCTGGACAAAGAAAAGTGAATTAGCCAGAGTATATGGCTGCGTTGCCTCGTGGATTACAACGCATTGTGTTGCGGTGCATCGCGTTCTTCCATACCAGATTGTTCTTCCGCATTGTAAAGGTTGGTTCCCTAGTTCAGGTCTTCGCGCCGTTGTGTGTTGCATCGCCCAGTTGTACTGTCTTTCAGACGACTTCCCGACGCATCACACATGAGTTGAATAGTGCACGCCACCTTGTGTTCAAAGCCAGCTGCCCTTACGCTGCACTGCGTTGGGTTAGTACATCCCAGCTCGCATGAATCAAGTGTATTGTTTTTTTTCGCTGCAGCGCATTACGCAACAGCTTCTTGAATAACATGTTGCGTCATTGTACTACCTCGGCAATGCCGTGTACCACACACATACAGGCACAAACACAGACACACTGCACCAGTACAGTGTATGATGCCGCGTTGGTGCACTTCTACTCTATAATGTTACATTGGGCGCACATCAGATTACGCATCCAGCACGGCCCCCAGGGGTCCTCCTGGGCCGTCTTGGGCCATCTTGAGGCCGTCTTGGGCATTCTGAGATGCATCTTGGACCGTCTTGGAGGCATCTTGGGCCATGTTAGCCGTCTTGGAGACCATCTCGGCCTTCTTAAACGCCATCTTAGCCGTCTTGGAGGCATCGTGGAGGCAATACTGGGCTATCTTGGCTGTCACAGAGGCGATTGGGAAATGTTGCTCGGCGGATTGTGCGGCCGTTCTGGTGGCTGACGCATCGGACAGAAGCCCCAGGAGGAGTTCTGCTGGAGAAGAAGCAAAACCAAATACCATGAGAAATTCAGCATGCCAGGCACCCCTGTGGTAAGACCACAGGGGGCGGCGGATCGAATGGCCTTCGGCCCATTCTGCCAACGTGCCAGGGTTGGTTATGAAGCTTGTTGGATGTTCGTTGGAATCTCGGGGGAGGCCTCTCGGGGGCTTTCCCCAGGCAGTGTTGAGGCCACTTTGGGGCAGCTTTGGGGCCTCTTGGAGCCTCTTTTGGGCCTCTTGGGGGCCTCTTGGGGCCCTTGGGCGACTCTTGGGGCCTCATGGGGGCCTCTTGGGGCGGACGGCTCGGAGTTTCGGTTCATGTTCCCTCTCTTCGACCTCTTTTGGGGCCGTTTTGAGGCCCTCTTGGGCCGTCTTAGGCGCCTCTTGGGCTGTGTTGGGCGCTCTTAGACTGTCTCGGGGCACTTTTGGAGGCCTCTTGGTCCGTCTTGGGGTGGTTTTGGGGGCCTCTTGGGCCGTCTTGCAGCGTCTGAAAATAGAAAAGGCGAAAACGCCGAAACCGTTTAAAAACCTAAGGAAATCAATGATTTGCAGGCCTCTTGAGCCGTGTTCGGGCCGTCTTGGGCATCTTGCGCCAATCATTCGGCGACTTGGGGCCCTCCTGGAACATCTTTTGGGGCTCTTGGAGTCCTCTTGGCCTGTCTTTGGAACCCTCCAAGCTCGGAAAAAGTCACGCGAGAAGCCGCGGGAAGGGCCAGAGGACCTGAGGGAACGCCCACTTTGTGGCCAGAGGCACGGTCGCGGATATTAGTCATTCGGTCGTGGCCTCTCCCGTGACCATCCCCAGAAAGTGTAGCAGATTAGCGCCCCGAAACGGACCATGTGGATGATTAGTACCAGCGTGCCGGTCGGAGGGCTCATATCCTATATGCTTACAGTTGTCGGCATGGAAAACCATTACACGGTGACTTAGCATGTGCCGTTCACCCAGCGCGTTCCGCTACTCGCAAAGCGCCTACTCGCAAACATAAAAAAAAAGTGTTCCTTTGTGTAATGGGTCGTAGAATCCACCGCGTCGGATCCGGGCCATTGGCGAGCAGTTACTTGACGAGTAGTGGAACGCGCGTGTCTGGACGTGATCTTGAGGTGGGCGGGGTGGGATCCGAATCGGTGCGCCCGCGTGCGCTCCCCCGCAGATACCGGCGCGCCAGCGCGCCGACAGGGCGGTGGTGAAGCGGCAGCAGCAGGACGGCGGGCGGGCTGCTGCACGGCGGCTGCCGGCGTCCTCGGCAGTTGGATCGTGACGGCCTTGCGGCCGGTGCCGCCGACCCAGGAGGACGGCGACGACGACGACGACGGCGACGACCACGACGACGACGACGACGACAACGACGAGCTGATGACCCTGCCACTAACTCGGGACATGGGGCGGGCGGTGGAGGGAGGAGGAGGAGGAGGAGGAGGAGGAGCTTGAAGAGGCAGCAGCAGGACGGCGGGCTGGCAGCTGCATGGCGGCTCCTAGAGGCCTCGGCAGTTGCCGTAGACACGCTACAAGCGATGTTGGTTTCGGTGTTGTGGGTGGGCGTAATTCGTGGCCAGCCCCAGCTGTAGGAAAGCGCTGTTCGTGTTGTCCTACAGTTTGTGCTGCGCGAGTTCGGCGTAGCAAAGACAATATTCCCAACATCGCCGTTAGCGTGGCCTTGGATCTGGGCTTGAGGAAACGAGGAGGTGAGGCCTGATTTAGGCTCCCTGTGCTCCCTCGTCGGACACCGCAGCTGCGAAAGAGAGGATGAGGAGAGAAGGAGGAGAGAGAGTGAGAACTAAATAGGGGGAGAGAAAGAGAGCGAGTGAGAGAGAGAGAGGAACAACAAACCAAAGAAACAAAAGAGAAAGAGAGAGAAAGAGAGAGCCAGAGAGAGATCTCGGGGAAGAGCGCGTGGGAGCTCGGGTCTTTGCCTTGACGGTTTATCTCCTGAGCTTCTGGCGCGTGCGTGCTTGGCGGAATCCTCGATCGAATGGCGACGCCAGGGCCCCTCCTGGCTGTTCTGCGCTCTGTCACCAGCAGACAGCCAGCGGGACGCGGAAGGAACAACTCAGGAGGAAAAGAAACACACAGACACAATTAATCGGCGATTCCCCAGAAAATATGGAAAATATGGGAATTGGGCGGGAAGACAAAAACCCAGAAAATATGGGAAAATGTGGGGCATCTTTTTATTTGTGTGTATTTATGTGTGTGTCCCAGGGCCCCTTCAACGTTGGGTGGTTCCGTTGGCTCTTTCAAGTCCCTCCGTGCCAGTCCGCGCTCGCGTTGCTCTGGACCAGGCCTTGTCCTGCGCCGTGGCCCGGCAGTCCTGCGGCCGGCGAGGGCCAGGTCCGCCCGCCCACGGACCGAGGACACGTCGAAGACGCTCTCCGAGCCTTCGGTCAGCTTTGCCACCTGCGCCGCCTCCTGCAGAAGCATGCCGAGGGACCCCCTGTTCTAGAGTCAAAACTCGCAGTAACGACGCACGGATATCCTGAGGGTACTTTTGCGTCCGTGCCTCTGCGGCCCGTGCTTCGTGGTTTCCACGGGCCAGCCCCTCAGAGGGTTGGCAGTCGCAGTCCGCCGCACAAGAAGTGCAAAGTTCGGCGTCCAAGGCCCTTGTGTCCTTACCACCCGTCCTTACCATAGATTTCCACTGACGGAGCCTTGTCGACTGCCACTGCCCGCTGGCTTGGCCTCGGAGGTGCGCTCGGAGTGACGAGAGAGAGAGAGAGAGAGAGCGGGCCCCCCTGGAGAGGCAGGTCGAGGCCTTCGTGATCGGCCACCCTGTGGTCGCTGGCGACCGCAGCCTGAGCCGATCGCACGACGGTTTTTCTCGTGGGGTGGACTGGCCCGATGAAGTGGTTGGCTCGGCCAGGCGGTCGGCTCGCAAATGGTATCAGTCGTCGATCCTTTCGCATCCCAGTCAGGAGTTCATCCATGAGAGCAGGATGGCGAACGAGGCCGACGCCTTCAAGACACAGCAGAAGGCGCATCCACTGGAGGTTGCAGGCACCAGGAGTAGGTAGTTCAGAGCGCAGGGGAAAGCCGCACCAGTGCGCGGAGAGTATCACCAGTGTGTTGCCAAATCCGTTTTTGCCCCAGCACCGATGGCTGCATCATGATTCCCAACACTTCTTGGGGTTGGGTCCGTCCTCTCGCCTCCGTCCTCCCTCGTCTCTCCTCCCTCTCCGAGCTCCCTGCGTGTCTCTTGGCATCGCTCGGACGTGTGCATTTTTTCCTCGGTGGGGACCATCGAGGAGCATCCTTGATCATTCGGCGAAAAAACCACTCCCGAAACCGAAAAAAACACAGGGAATGGACGTCCGAGCGATGCCCAGGTCTCCAGTTGTTTCAACCTCTCTCTCTCGCTGTCTCTCTCCTTTCGCTGCCTGGGTGCTGCGCCAGGCGTTCAGTCGCCGTCGCTTTCACGCGCTCCTGGGCGGCCGAGCGGAGTGATGACACCCGCAGACTCTGGGCGGCTGCGCCTTGCCCTTGCGCTGCCAGGCGCGCCCTGTCGCCACGCTCCTGCGCCCCTGGGGATTCCAGCGGAGTGGTGACACGCGCAGGTCGGATGAAACCTCGCCCCCCCACCGTGTCCGGCGAGGCGAGCAACTGTATACAGTCAACGCGCATAGTAAGGGCAAACGATTTGTTCAAGGGTACCTTTGGGTCCTTGCCTGCCTCAGCCTCTGCGGCCCGTCCCTAGCAATTTTCGCAGGCCAGTTGCTCAGGTTCCCTGGGGGTTCGGCCGCCTGCCGCCCAGAATACTTCAACTTCGGCCTCCAAGGGTCTTGCGTCCTTACCACGCGTCCTTACTATACGTGTTCACTGTGCACTCCTGCGCCGGTGGGCCGTCCAGCCGAGTCAGGCGCAGTCCCGCGTGAGAGCTCGCTCCTTGTCGGGTCCAGCAGGCAGGTGGCGCACCCAGTCCCACATGAGGCCCCGGCCTCCATGCCTGCTGCTAGGCGTGCAGCGGTCGCTGCTCTCCTGCACTCTTGGGACCTACGCAGACCAGATGAGACAGCGTTCTCCCTGGGTGGTGCCAGGCGTGCATTCTCGCCACCTTCCCGCGCCCCTGGAAATTCAGGCGGAGTGCTAATGCACCAGGTCTGGAGAGACCTCGCCCTCCCTGTGTGGTCCAACAAAACAAATCAGAGCTCGCCCCTCGGGGGGTCAACGAAGCGCCCTGACACGCACTACCTTTGTGCGCATTTGCGGGTTCTAGCGGACTGGTGTGGCACGCCGATCCAAATTGAGCCTCGGCTTCTCTTGGGTGGCACCAGGCGTTCAATGGTCGCCGCTTTCGTGCGCCCCAGCGGGGTAAAATCTACACCAGGGGAAACCCAGCCATTGGTTGTACGAAACAGGCATGAGCGAAGGACGACGAATGCTATACAAATTATATTGCACGTAGAACCCCGCAATTGCAGATAAGAGTAATGGGGCGGCGGTGACGTCGGCAGTCTGCTAGGCTCTGAAGAAGCCCGCCGAGGGCGCTTAATTGTTGCAAATCATGTGCGCAAGCCCGCCGCAGGCGCCGTTCTGGGTTGGTTGCGGTCGAGTCGTGGATGGGTCGCGAGTGGGTCGCGGGTGGGTCGCGGGTGGGCAGCGGGTGAGTCGCGGGTTGGGTCGCGGGTTGGGTCGCGGGTGGGTCGCGGGTGGGTCGCGGGAGGGTCGTTGGCGGGTCGTGGGGTGGGTTGCGGGTTGGTCGCAGATGGGTCGCAGGTGGGTCGCGGCGTGGGTTGCTGGTGGGTGGGTCGTTGGTTGGTCGCGGGTGGGTGGCGGGCCGGGTCGCGGGGGGGACGACGGCAACAAACAATAAACTACAAAGAACGCAGCAACAACATTAATAGCAGCAGCAGCAGCAGCAGAAACCACAACAACAATCCGCACTGCGGAACCTCACTTCAGCCACGCGCCGAGAGACAGCGAATGACCGTTTGCCCCTCTCACTCTGACCTTGTATCTGCTCGCTTTGCGGTTGAGCTCAATCCCTTTGCGTTTCACGATTTTCTGCGATAGTTAGAGGTTGTTATCCGCTCACTACACTCTCTGCGTTCTGCACTCGGCACTCTGCTCCATCCTCTATGTCCTTCACTGTCTACCCTGTACGCTCTAATATGTACGCACTCTCGGAGTCCCAGGAAGTCCGCCACTACCGCGAACGCAATAGCCAGGAACCATAATCTGGAAATTGGGAGCCTAGGAGCCCAACTGTCTATTGCCGAATCTGGCGGCAAATGGTTACCAAATCTTGGTCATACCCGTTTAAACCCCAGAGCCAGGATTCATGGAACCCAGCAGCCCACCGAATTTGGTTGCAAACGTTCGCCGAATCCTTACTGAATTACCTAGGGACCCCGGCAGTGCAAGAATTTGTTGGAAATACATTAAAGAATGACATGGACGGGTTCCCGGACTCCGGGTTTCCATGTTCCCGGGTTCACAGGGTCACGGTTTCCTAGTTTCTCGGGCTCTCGGGTTCCCAGGTTTTTGGTCTCCAAGTGTTTTGTTGGGTTCCTGGGCTCGCGAATTCACTGGCTTGTGAGGAGGAGCAAGAAGGGAAAGTAAGGAGCAGCAGCAGCAGCAGCACAGCAGCAGTAGTGATGAGAAGCGAAGATTAGCAAGGAAGAGCGAGGAGCGAGGAGGAGGAGGAGGAGGAAGATTGAGCAGAAGGCACGACGACAAGAGATGGAGCGGAGGAAGGAGGAGGAGGAGGAGGAGGAGGAGGAGGAGGGAGGAGGAGGAGGAGGAGCGAGCAGAATCAATGAGGAGGAGCAAGTAGGAGGAGGAGGAGGAGCAGGAGGAGGAGGAGGAGGAGGGAGAAGGAATGCGCCGACAGCAATATGGAGGAGGCGCGAAGAGGAGCAAGGAGGAGCGAAGATGAGGAGGAGATTGGGAGGATGAGGAGGATGAGGTGGAGGAGAAGGAGGAGAAGGAGGAGGGGGAGGAGGAGGACAGAGGGATGAGGTGCAAATGTCGACGCCTTCCTGTGCCTCCGTGGGGCCCAGTGAAGCTGTGACCCACGCAGGCCCACCACTGGTTGCTGCCACACGTCTTCCTTCTGGGTGGATTGAGTATGTGCATCGGTACCCATCGGTCGTTGAAGGTAGGTATTTTTGGAGTCCGAAATCCCAATCTGCGTTCAGAGCCTCCCTACTTCAATGATCGAGTGGTGATCCCTCTTCCCTCCCGTTCAGGAGGCGGGCGGAAACCCAATCAACTTTCAACGCCTTCCGACTTCATGTTTCTACCTACTTCTTCCGACCGAGGGGTAATGCTGTCTCCCCGTTTTCTTCTTGTTTCTCCGCCCATGTGAGCCCGTCGCCCTTCTGGGACTGTGCGCCTCAGCGCAAGCACTCCACTGGCATAGGGCGAGGTTCTTCCAGATGCAGCCAGTTTAACGCTTCATGGGCGCACTTGTTGAATCCAAAACCCGGACATCGGAGCTCCAAGCACGCCTTCCGGAAGCTTGTGGAAGGAGTTCTGAAAGCTCTTGAGAGGCGCTTCCGAATTAGCTTCTGGAGAACAGCACACGCATGGGAAAATTATCCTGGCGAATGACCCGATCATATGCAGCTGTGAATACCGCAATTATGAATATCATCTTTGCCCGCGCTCCCTATAGGGCCACGAACCGTGTGAGGGGCGTGCCGAAATGCGCGGCGGGGCACACGACGCGAGCGAAGACGATAGGTCTGTGTGCGAGAGACTGAGCGCGAGTGAGTCTGATTGTGAAGGAGCCTGCGTGCGAATCAGTCTACGTGCATGAACGTCGACGCCCATGTCGGCACGCTCCTCCCGAGGATCGCGCCCGCTTCCTTCCGTTATGTTTGTTTTCCTCTCTCTCTATCTCTCTGTTTGCCCGTGCACGCCCCTGCCCGAGGCCACGGGCGCGGCGCCGCACGGAGTCCCCGCGACGCACGCCGGTCGCCCCGAAGGGGCCCGGCGACGCGCACGGGTCGTCCGCGGCGCAGCCGTGGGCCGCCCCGGCAAGAGGAAACGAGGAAGAGGGAAAGGAGGAGGGAAGGGAGGGGACTCTCTCTCCCGTTCGCCTGTGGGGCCGCGAGCATGACGGCGGCGGCGGCGCCGACGGCGGCGACGGTGGTATCGGCGGCGGCGACAGCGGCCACGGCGGTCCTCCTCCTCCTCCTCCTCCTCTTCCTTCTCGTCCTCCTCCTCCTCCTCCACCTCCTCCTCCTCCTCTCCTCCTCCTCCTCCTCCTCTTCCTCCTCCTCTTCCTCCTCCCTCCCCATGGGGCCACGAAGCGTGTGAGGGGTGTGCAAAAATGGAGCGGCGCCGCCACGCGGGCTGCGCCATGGGGGCCTTGCTGGAGTTCCTTATGGGGCCATGACACGTGTGAGTGGTGTGCCACAATGGGGCGGCGCCGCCATGCGGGCTGCGCCATTGGGACCTTCGATGGAGCTCCCGATGGGGCCACGACACGTGTGAGCGGTGTGCAAAAATGGGGCGGCGCCGCCATGCGGGTTGCGCCACTGGGACCCTAGGTGGCGCCCCCTCTTTATGGGGCCACGAAACGTGTGAGGGGCGTGCCAAAATGGGGCGGCGCCGCCATGCGGGCTGCGACACTGGGACCTTAGATGGAGTTCCCCATGGGGCCACAACACGTGTGAGGGGTTACCACAATGGGGCGGCGCCGCCATGCGGGCTGCGCCACTGGGACCTTCGGTGGAGCTCCCTTGGGGCCACGAAACGTGTGAGGGGTGTGCCAAAATGGAACGGCGCCGCCATGCGGGCTGCGCCACTGGGACATAGGATGCAGCTCCCTATGGGGCCATGGGGCGTGCCAAAATGGGGCGGCGCCGCCATGCGGGCTGCGACACTGGGACCTTAGGTGGAACCCCTTTTATAGGGCCACGAAACGTGTGATGGGTGTGCCGAAACAGAGACATGCGGAGAGCAAAGGCAAGGAGGGGAAGGAGAGAGGAGGAGGAGGAGGAGGAGGAGGAGGAGGAGGAAGAGGAGGAAGGAGGAAGGAGGAAGGAGGAAGGAGGAGAACGCGGGGCACAACCTCTTCAGAACGAGGACCAAACACCACAGGATGGTTGGGAAAAATAAGAAAACCTTGCGGGGACACGCTTCAAGGTCAAGCAGCTCGCAGCGGAGCTTCCTGCCGGAAGCCGGAACGAGCTCCGGGGCTACCTTGCGTTGTCGGCTTCTAATCTGAAGCCATGTAGCTCTCAGAGGGCTGAAAGGGAACCAGCACCGCATCTGCACGGTTTCACGAGGCTCCGAGTGTTCCCAGGTGAGCGGCAGTGGCTCCAGAGATGGCCGCCGCGGGGCCCCCCGTGGTGCGGGAGCGCCCGAAGAAGTGTTTTTTTTGTGCGGGGGAGGAGGAGGAGGAGCTACCACCTTTCAGGCCCACATTTTTGGTCCAGTTTCCATGCCTCGAGCTTCTCTTCTTGCTCCTCCTTCTTGGCCCCGCAGGCAGGGGAGAGTGAACACGATTCGAGGGCATCGCGCCGCGATGCCCACCGCACGTGCCAATCATTCCACAGAAAAGGGAGGCTGGGAGGGAATGAGGGAGGCAGGGAGCGGTAAAAGTGGATTTGGAGGCAGCCAGGGAATTAGGAGGAACTCAGGGAGAACAGCACCTTCGACGAGAGGTATCACCTTGCGCGCTCCGGAGCGCAGGCGAGCTTCGAGAACAAGACTGCTGCCGTGATCCGCGCCAACAACGTGCGCAGCAAGGCGCTCGCGATGAGGAGGCGGCACGAGGACGCGTCCGGCTCGGGCCCGGGGCGGACACGGGCTCCTCAGCACAGGAAGAGGATGATGATGATGATGATGATGAGGAGGAGGAGGAGGAGGAGGAGGAGGAGGAGGAGGAGGAGGAGGAGCAGGGCAAAGAGGAGGGAGAGGAGGAGGAGGGGAGGAGGAGGAGGAGGAGGAGGAGGGGAGGAGGAGGAGGAGGAGGAGGAGGAGGAGGAGGAGGAGGAGGAGTACGGCAAAGAGGAGGACGAGGAGGAGGACGAGGAGGAGGGAGAGGAGGAGGAGGAGGAGGAGGAGGAGGAGGAGGAGGAGGAGGAGGAGGAGGAGGAGGAGGGAGGATGAGGAGGAGGAGGAGGAGGAGGGAGAGGAGTAGAAGGGACGTCAGCAGGCTTGGTGCAGGGGGCGCGCTGAAAGGGTGATCTGCGGAGTGCAGGGGGTGTCCGCAGGCTCGGTGGCCAGCTGGGCAGCAGGTCGCCAGCGAGAGCTGCCGAGGCGCGAGAGGGGGGATCGAAGCAGCAGCGCCACTTCGTGGTTTCGTCACAGCCGATGCGCTTTGATCGGCCCAGGAGGGCTCAGGGCATCAGGCCAGGAAGCTGACACACCTGGTCGATGGCTGTGGCTACGTAGACACATGGTCGGGCTTCAAACGTTGCGGCCTATCCTTCAGAGTGCCTCCTTGGCGACCTACGTAGCTCTACTCACACACTTCGCCTCACAAGTCTACTCTTCCTTCCCTGCTTCTGCCATCCGCGTAGGGACGGATGTCAAACGAATGAGTGCGGGCAGGGTCCGAGTCGCCAGTCTAGGCGCCTCGCTTCATTCGGTGGTTTTCGGATGCAATTCCTGTAATCCGTCATGAGACGGTGCGTGATTGAGATGTTCGTGTTGATGCGAAGAAAGTTCAGACCCATCGTCAGCGTCAGTTGGGAGTTATGTTCGTCCGTCGCAAGTCGCGCGTGTGTCCAGCCGTCCACACATTCGAAAGATCGCTTGGTTAGGCACTTGAGCCGCCGCTTGGGACTTGTGCCCGGTGCACGGATGGCGGCACTGCACCATATACTCCAGATCCCTGTCACATGCCACGCGCCGCCCAAGCAAGTTTGCAGTGGCGAGGATACGGCCTTGCGATGCGTCCTCCTGCACACAGCAGCCCCGGATGCAGAGCGAGCTTGAGGCAAGGCTGGGGGGGCGGGGCGATAATGGGGGCGGGGCAGCGAGGGCTGCAGAAAGGACCTTCTTGGGGGCCCTACAGGGGCCCTCTAGGGCCCCCCAAAGGGGGGCCTCCCGGGCCCGAAAAGTGCGCCATTCTCCCCCCCAAGTAAGTCGCCCCCCCCTAATTCGCGCCCCGAATAAGTCGCCCCCCCCCCCCCATCGAACGCCCCCCCAATAAGTCGCCCAATAAGTCGCCCCCCCCCCCCCCCCCAAGAAGTCGCCCCCCCCTTAATTCGCACCTCGAGGGGGAAAGCCCCCGCCCAGGAGGAGGAGGAGAAGGAGGAGGAGGACGAGGAGGAGGAGGAGGAGGACGAGGAGGGGGAGGAGGAGGAGAAGGAGGAGGGGGACGACGAGGAGGAGGACGACGAGGAGGAGGAAGGGAGGGGGAGGAGGGGAGGAGGAGGAGGAGGAGGAGGAGGAGGAGGAGGAGGAGGAGGAGGAGGCCAGTGCCACGTGGGATTCACCCCGAAGAATGGGGTTCGCTTTTCGTCAATGCAGGCTTTCGTGAATAGAGGGCGCCAGCCACAAGAGAGGATGCGATGTACGGCACGCGCGCGGCCGGCCGCGGACGGCACTGGCTTCCCGCGCCGCGGTGGCGTCTCGCACCGCGCTGGGTTCTGCAGAATGGTGGCGATGGCAGCTCTGGAGCTTCTGTTGGCGCGTGCGCGCTCGCTGGCGTCGCTCCGAACGACGAGGGTGGGGGGTGGCGGCTGGATCGATGAGGCCGATATCGAGTGTCAACTGTTCGTAGCATCAGGAGGGGAAAAACACACACAGACACAATTAATCGACGACTCCCAGGAAAATATGGAAAATATGGGAAGTGGGGGGGGGAAGACGAAAATCAAGAAAATATTGGAAAATATGGGGAATCATTTGATTTGTGTATTTACTTGTGTCCCAGGGCCCCTTTAAACTGCTCGCAGCTGCCAGTGCGACCCGTGGCGTACGCTTTTTGCCGACGCCTTCGGGGGCTGCGACGCAGGGCCGACGGGTGATGACTGGTGGGATACAGTTTTCAGGAGGGACAAAACACACACAGACAGAATGAGTCGTCGATCCCCCAGGAGAATATGGGAAAGTATGGGAAGTGGGGGGGAAGACAGAAACACAGAAAATATGTGAAAATATGGGGGATATTTTTATTTGTGAGTATTTATTTGTGTGTCCCAGGGCCCCTTCAAGTTTGACGCATGCCCTGACTCACGCATTAACTTACGCGCTCGCGGGGGGGCCAAGCCGCCGCCATGTCGTCACCACAGCCAGCCTTAGGCCGGCGCACTTCCCGTTGGCGGTGTGACCCGTTCTCTTCCCCTTGCTGCCCGAGGAGCAGCTGCAGAACCGCCGCGCACTCCTGGCCGACAAGCTGGCCGAGGAGCGTCAGGCGCCCTGGGCAGCACGGCGCATGGAGACGGGAGGGTGGCTCTTCCATGGCACTCGGGGGCTCGATGGGAGTTGGTTTCAGCTCTGGGGAGCTGCAAGATAGAAGGGGTCTTAGATCAGCTTTCTGGGTGCACGGGGGAGACCCAATGCTTCGACGATATTACTTTCGGGAGGGATCTCGGGGGCGACGTTGGGGGGGTGTCCGGCTGGCAGTCCGTTAGTCAGCGAGCGAAGAACGGTATAAAATAAACTTTTTCGCTGTCGGGGGCGCCTGTCCCTGGGCGGCTGGAAAGTTTATACCCCTTCGGTGCCACAGTAAGGGTATAAACTTTCCAGCCGCCCATGGACAGGCGCCCCCGACAGCGAAAAAGTTTATGTAATACCGTTCTTCGCCCGTTAAGTTAGGGCCCATGTGAAGTCCCAAAGTAGGATCTAGCGCAGGCCCCAAGCAATACAATTGTTTACGTCAAACCCCGCTGCCGTGAAGCACAGTATCGATACAGGTACGTGTCCAGGGTGGCCCGATCACGATCTCACGATGTTTACACCGTGGTTCTCCAGATGTCCGCCGTCCCCCAGATGCTCCTTGGTCGTTGGCGGTGCGATGGTCCTTCTGCGCTCGTTCGCAAGGCGCTTCTTGGGGCCGTCTCGGCCCAGTCTTGGATTGTTCGGGGTGGCATCTTTCAGGCAGGCCTCGAATCGAGATAAAAATCGGTCCACGGCGTTCTGGAACGCTCTCGGAGCGTTCCGGAACGCTCTGAAGCGGCCGCGGCGCCCGATGCGTCCTCCGAGGCCCGTCCATCGTCAGAGATTAGCATTGTATGCCGGTCCGATGTTGTCTCGGCTCTGCCTTCGTCTCACAGACGGCGCCTCCTTGGGGTCGTCTTGGCCCAGTCTTGGATTTTGTCGGGGTGGCATCCCATAGGAATCTCCAGAGAATTCTGGGACCAGTGTCGGCCGTTTCGTTGCCGTCTCACGTCCGCTCAGGAGGGGGAACAACACACAGGAACAAAGAATCGCCGATGTCCATGAATAAATGAGAATGTCGGAGGCGGAGGGGGGACGAACATCCAAACAAACAAACAGACAATTTTGAATCCTGATATTTGTGTCTGTTTATTTATGTGTCCCTGGGCCCATTAATTCCTTGGGGGGGTCCTGGGACCGCTTGGAGGTGTCTTGTGGCCTCCTGAAGCTGGAAGAGCGACAGGCAGAAACCATTGGCAGGCTTTCCAATGCTCGGGGGCTCCAAAGTCGTCTGGACATCCTGTGAGACGCCTCTTGGGGTCTCTTGGGGCGTCCCAGGTGTCTCTTGAAAGTCTGTTGAAGGCCTCTTGGGGCTCTCTTGCGGTGTATGGCGGAACTTCTGGGCAATCTGGAATAGTGCTTGGCGTCGTTTTGGGGCCTTGTTGGGTCGTTCCTCGGCTAGTCTTAAGGCTCAGGCGAGTTTCGTGGAGGCACGCTAGGAAGTGGTGCCTGACGGTGTGCACGCCCCAGCGAACCAGGCGGCACAGGGGGCGGCACCTCAAGAGAGGAAGGACACACATTGAGTAGAAGCAGATTTGCGTGGGTACTGTGTGGCGTTCTCTTTTGCGCTTGTCCAGCGCAGGACAGTCTGAGGTGAGAGCTTCGGGAAGGGGCCCCTGACTTTCTGAACACCCTTGCGAGGGCCGGACATAGGCTGCGAGCTGGGGCGACACCCCAGAGCACGCATTGGGTATCTCTCTTTCTCTCGCTTGCTCTCTCTCTCTCTCTTGCTTTCTGTCTCTCTCTCTCTCTCTCTCTCTCTCTCTCTCTCTCTCGGGGGGGAGGAAAGGGCAGGGTTGTCCCCAGCACCCACGGGGCAACCAAGCCTGGCAGCTGGCCGCAGCCACTTAGAGCGCCAAACCACACCAGCCAGCTCGGTGCAGCAACGCCAGAAAATCGGGAGGGAGCAGAGGAGGAGGAGGAGGAGGAGGAGGAGGAGGAGGAGGATCAGTTTAAACCCAAGACTCACCAACGGTGTTGCAGTAAAACCTCCCTCCAAGTTCCAGCCTCATAGTCATAGGCCCCTACAACGGTTTATTTTCACTTAAGGAAGAGCCCCGTCAGAAGAACCGTTCGAAAATCCCGAACCGTACCAAAACACGATTGGACCATTCACGTGACTGCAATGCCGCAAATCAACGTTACTGTAACGTCATGACAATCGTGAACCATGCCAGAACACCTTTTCTGGGACCTTCAACACCGCGAATCGACGCAACTGTTGCGCCATTACAGTCCTACATCGTGCGAGAATACCACACGTCAACCATAAGAATCTCTGAAACTGTTGTAAACTCCTGGGACGAGTGTGCGCGGTGCTGAAGCGAGAGCCACATTTTGAAAACGGCCCGCCCTCCATCCGCGAAACTATTGAAGACGTTCAAGACGACTGCGCGCGGCGCTAAGGCGAGAGCCGCACTTTGAAAAGGAGCCGCCCTCCATGCGTGGAACACCTTCAAACGTTCGAGACCAATGCGCGCGGTGCGAAGGCGAGAGCCACATTTCACAAGCTGCCCGCCCTCTGTCCGTGAAGTTCTTGCAAGTTGTTGAGAGACATGTGCGCGACTGCCCGCCCTCGATCCGTGACTCTTTTTTTCAACGTTTGGAATGAATGTGCGCGGCGCGAAGGCGAGAGCCACATCTTGAAGACGGCCGGCCCTCCATCCGTTGAACGCTTGCCAGCTTTCGAGACGACCGCGCGCGGCGGTAAGGTCAGAGCCACGTCTTGGAAACGGCCCACCCTCCGTCCATCCCACAGTCGGGGCGCTGAAGAAGGAACCCTTTTCGTTGAGGAGGGGCTCCGTGTTCCTTGCTTGTTTCATGGCTTGCCTGAGGTTTCCTCAGGTTTTCGATGGGAAATCGAAGTTCAACTTATGGAGGAAAAAAGGGCCTCGTTCCTTATTTAGATTTCCTTAAGTCAACGCCACGACTGCAGGTGGTGAGGAGTTATCAGGCGAAACCTGGCCCGCCCTGCCGACACGCTGCGGGGCGCGACAGGGAGGAGTTCTTGATAAGGAAAACAGGAGGAGAAGGAGGAGGAGCAGGAGCAGGAGAAGAGGAGGAGGAGGAGGAGGAGGAGGAGTAGGAGGAGGAGGAGGAGGAGGAGGAGGAGGAGGAGGAGGAGGAGGGGGCAAAACGCCAGGGGCGCACTGGCAGGGGCGGCCGGCCCTGGGAAAGGCATGGAACGGGGAAAGGGGGCCAGCGGGGGAGGCGGTCGGCAGGCAGCGCCAGCACCAGGACACCGCGTGGCCGTGAGCAGAACAGGGTTTCACCTTCGCCCCCGCGGTGGTGGAAGCCCACGGCGGCGGGTGGGGCCGCGAGGCACGCAGGGCCTTCGGGCCCTGGTCAAGCAGGTGGCTGACGCCACGTGGGAAGGCGCCGCACTGGCCTGCGGACCATCACGCTCACCGACTCCCCGTCTCCCTGCTCAGGAAGAGCGCGTGGGCGGTGTTGCGACGCTCCCAGACGCAGCCCGGAGGGACGGGGGCGGCCGCGGCCCGCCTGGCCGCGGCCACGGCTGCCTCCGCGGCGGGTGCCATGTGAGGCGCCCCCGGCGCTGCCCAGCGCCCCCCGCCTCCTCCCCAACCCAGCTGGGCAGAACGGACCCCCCGCGCTGCTCTGCTGGCGGCTCCTCGCACGTGCCCGCCGTCTTGTCTTCGGCGGGGCGGCGAATGGATCCCGCAGACGGCAATCCCCACCAAGCCGCTGCGTGGTGGGTTCGGTTGGGCACCCCGCAACGTCCCCCGACGCTTATCCCGACCGACGACCCACCCCACCGCGACCACCCCCCAAGCCGACCCCCCACGACGATCCCCCCACCACAAGCCAGACAACCGCCACCCACCCGTGCACTCCCTCCGCATCCGCTGCCCTGTCGGCGTCGCCACCGTCGTGTCCGTAGCGTCTTCGCGGGTGGCCCTTTTCTCCCAGCCCCTCTTCCACCCCGTTTGCTCGCGGTTGTTTTTACTTTCCCTTCTCCCCGTCTCCCACCCCGCGCATCACAGTGGAAACCCATGCTAAGAGACACTCATATCATATTGCCCTCAGGGTGCCCTGGGTTTCTTGGGCAGTGATGGTCATGCTACGGAAAACGCGACGTTCCCACACCAAAAACCAATGGACGTCTTTGGGGTCTCAAGGTTTGGACTTTTATGCAAGGTTTCTTGTGGCCGAGTTCCTACTGCATCCTCTCTAGTTCCTTGTTTGCTGTTTCCTCGTTGTCCCCTCCCGCCTGCCCGCCCGCATGTTTCGTCCCGCCGGCCTTGGCCTCATGCCTGCGCGCTCGCCGTCGTTTGGTGCTTCTCGTCCCTTGTTTAAATCGGACATGTCCCTCTACAGGAGGAATATTCAAAAATAGTCAAAGCATAGTCGGAGCACGACTGCTTCACTAGATTGGACTGTTTTTGAGCATGGTTTGACTATTGGTTACTCTTCATTTACAATCCGCCTCTTGGAGGACATGCCCGACCAAAAAATTGTTTCCATGTTCTGCCGCTTCACAGCATAATTGGGCTGCCAGGAGACAGTGGTGCGCTGCTGTCCTGGGTCTGGAGGGCACGTGCGGGCCCCGTTGCTCGAAGGCTGGGCACTCGCAGAGTGCGAGACCTGTTTCGGGGAGCTCCGAGAAAGCCGCGCGCTGCCGCGGTGGTGGTCGTCGCGATGGTCGTGTTGAGAGTCCTGGCATCGCTCGGACGTGTGCATTAATTCTCGGCGAGGGCCATCGAGGAGCATCCCTGATCATTTGGCGAAAAATCCACGCACGAAACCAAAAAAAAAAACACAGGGAATGGACGTCCGAGCGATGGCGAGTAGTGGGTGCCCTGGTGGTGCTCGTGGCGGGGGGGCGTGGTGGTCGCCGTGGTCACGGTGATCATGGTGGTGGTCGTCGCGGACGTCGCAGTGGTCGTGGCGGTGGCCATTCTCATGGTCGCCGGGATGGTGATGGTAGTGGTCGTGTCGGTCTCTTTTGTTTTTTCTTTCTCTCTCTCTCTCTTTCTTTCTCTCTCTCTGTCTCTCTCTCTCTCTCTCTTCATATATATATACATATATGTGTATATAAATATGTATGTATATATATGTATATCCCGCTGTGTATATATATAACATCGTTATTTAAAGATGTATGCATAAGTGTGTATATATCTCTCTTTCTCGCATGCTCGTTCTCTCGCTCTCTCTCTCTCTCTCTCTCTCGTTAGTTTCTCTTTCTATCTCTCTCTCTCTCTCTCTCCCTTTCTCTCTCTCTCTCTCTCTCTCTTTTCTCTCTCTCTCTCTCTCTCTCTCTCTCTTTCTGTCTGAGTATCTCTACAGCTGGGGCCCTGAAGAAGGAACCCTTTTCGTTGGGGAGGGGCTCGGTGTTCTTTGATTGGGCTGCAGTTTGCCTTCTGTTGTCCCAAGGTTTTCCATGGGAAATCGAAGCTCAATTTATGGGAGAAAGGGGCCCCGTTCCTTATTTAAGGTTCCCTTATGTCAACGCCCCGACTGTATCTCGCTCGATCTGTTTCTCTCTCTCTCTCTCTATCTCTCTGTCCGTCCCTCTCTCTCTCTCTCTCTTACCTGCGTTGTTGTGGCCTATGCTCACCTTGCTTGCGGGATAAACTCCGCTCCATGTTTTCAGTGTGATTCGTCCTGGCAGCGCGGTAGCTTCACATGGCAACATTGCCAAGCCAATGGAAGTGTGTCCATACCCACAGGCATTAGAGCAGGAGATGATTGATAAAGAGGATTCGACCTTTCGCTACAAGTTGAGCATTGGGTTTGGACGAAGGGCCACTCAACAGACAAGATAGGCACTGAGGCAGTGAGATGGACGTTAGAGAGATTTGTGTACATACATACCACATGTTGTGACGGATTGCTTGAATGATTGGTTGTGCATTATCTCGATTGTTTGTGCGGTTGTGACTTATGATTATTTTACGACAGTTGGTCGGTTGCATGTTTTTTGGATGATTGGTTGATTGATTGGTTGACCGATTGTCATCTGAGTGTCGTTGGTTGGTCCAGCATGTCTTGAGAGTTGGAAGTATTGGCTAATGCACAAACTAGCTGATAGGTTTGTGTTGCGCCGGATTGGTTCGCTTGTCCATGAAATACTGGCCGAATGTCGACTGTGAGGGTAACCGCTTGCGTTTCGGAGACAGGTGGCGTTACAGCGGAAGGTAGAAGGAGAGGTCGAGGTATAGGCATAGGCATCGGCACATGCTTGTTCGTGTGCAGAGATGCGAAAAGAGTTGCTTCTAGAGTGTTGAGGCCGCTGAGCGGGAGTCACGGCGGGCCCGAACGGCCTCTGCACGCGCGTGGCCGAACTCGGGGGCCAGATGCGAACCCTACCCCTACCCCCCATGATTTCTGAGGGGGAGGGTGGGGTTCACTTCGCTCGGGAGCTCCCGAACGAAGTGAACCCCACCCTGCCCCTCAGAAATCTTGGGGGGTAGGGGTAGGGTTTGCATCTGGCTCCCTGCGAACGTTTGGGCCCGCGGCGTCCCTGTGTTGAAGCTTTCGCGGGGCGCTCTTACGAATCCGCTTGGCGAGCCTGCCGCGTCCTCTCGGGCGAACTGGAGCCTCTCAGAAGTCTCCTCCTCCTCCTCCTCCTCCTCCTCCTCCTCCTCCTCCTCTCCCCCTCCCCCTCCTCCTCCTCCTCCTCCTCTCCTCCTCCTCCTCCTTCTCCTCCTCCTCCTCCTCCTCTCCTCCTCCTCCTCCTCCTTCCTCCTCCTGCTCCTCCTCCTCCTCCTCCTCCCCTCCCCCTCCCCCTCCTCTCCCCTCTCTCCTCCTCCTCTCCTCCTCCTCCTCCTCCTCCTCCTCCTCCTCCCCATCCTCCTCCTCCTCCTTCTCCTCCCCCTCCCCATCCTCCTCCCCCTCCCCCTCCCCCTCCCCCTCCTCCTCCTCCTCGTCCTCCTCCTCCTCCTCCTCCTCCTCCTCCTCCTCATCCTCATCCTCCTCATCCCCCTCCTCTCTTCGAGTCCCCGTGGGCGGTCCTGGAAACGACAGGGCCGTTGTTTTTACCGGTTCCGTTCTGCAGCTGTTTGCTGGCTCCGACGCCGTTTTCGTTGCCGGCTCCTTCGCCGTGGTTGTTGCCGGTTCCGGCTCCGGCTCTAATCCTTGAGCCGTGTTTGGCCGAGAGCAGTCGCCGATTTTTTGTTCATGTTCAAGAGAATTGTTTTCGGAAGTGGTGGAAAGACGGCCTTGCCGTCTCTGGGGCCCACTAAGGTTGAGCCGTCTTGCAGCCATACAGTGGAGGCCCATGCCAAGAAACACCCTGCTTGCCTCCAGGGTGCCCTGCGTCTCTTGGGTGTCGAGGGCTTTGCTGTGGTCAGCGTGCCGTTCCCGCACCAAAAATCCATGGGCGTCTTCGGGTCTCAGGGTTGGGCTTCTTGTGGAAGGGTTCTCTTGGACGGGCCTCCACTGTAGGCCATAGTTGGCCCATCTTGGTTGTCCTTGGAGCCTCTGCGGGACATCGTGGGGTCTCCTTGACCCGTCTCGGCCCTCCTCCAGGGGCGCCCCCGGCGGCGAGCGGGCTCGGATTATTTGCGCGCGCTCTTGCGGCCATGCTCCGATCGCACTGTTTCCGCCACGCACATACACACAGACACCCTCCACTGGATTGTTCCTGGGCCTCACGGGGAGGGTGGCGGTGTATAAATCACCGCCGAGAGCCAGCGGCTTTATGCACCGCCGCTTTCCCTGAAGGTACATGCACACTTCGTTGGAGGGTGTTTGTGTATACATACATACATGCATGCATGCATGCATACATACATACATACATACATACATACAAATATACATACATACATACATACATACATACATACATACATACATACATACATACATACATACATACATACATACATACATACATATATACATACATGCATACATACATACATGCATACATGCATATACATGCATCGTCGATCCCTAGGAAAATATGGGGAAAGATGGGAAGTGGGGAAGAAGTCAAAAACACAGAAAATATAAGAAACTATAGGGGGATCCTGTTATTTGTGTATATTTATTTGTGTGGCCCAGGGCCCCTTCATCTTGGGCCTCGGCACTTTCCTGCCGAAGCCAGAGCTCGGGGCACGGTCGCGGGAAGGACAGTCAACGCCGTCACTGGCCTTGCCGTCGTCTTTGTCATCATCGTCATCAGCATTGCTACCGTCGTTATCACGTCTGCCGTCGTCGACGTTGCCATGATGCCGCGCCCGCCCAAGTCACCGATTCGCACTGAAGTGCCCGCTGGGAAATGCCCAGCGGTCAGCGCCATCGCGGCCGCGTCGGTCGTGCCAGACTAGCAGGCCGCGTCGTGCGCGAGCATGCGCGGGCCAGCGCGGCCGCAGCGACGCGTTAAGGACGCGCGCCTTCATCCAGGGTGCCTTTGTGTCCTTGCCACTGCGGCCCGTCGTCTGCCGTTTTCACTGGTCGCCCGTCGCCCAGATCCCACCTTCGGCCTCCAAGGGCCTTGCGTCCTTAAAACCAGTCCTCGCTACACACTTCGGCTGTAGGTACTTTGGGATTCCCGGATCCCAGTCTGCTTCAAGCGCTTCCCTACTTCAAGAATCGGCTTGCTCTTTCTTGTTGTCATTGTAGTTCTTCGGGCGGGCCCAATCCCAACTTACTTCATCCGCCCTCCGACTTCAGGCTTCTACCTGTTCCGTCCGACTGGTGGGCAACCGATCCCAATCCCCATCCCCCTCCCGAGCCCCACAGTCCCACCGCCCCAGTTAGGGGATCTGCCCTTCGAAACTTGAGGAGGAGGAGGAGGAGGATGAGCAGGGCGAGGGGGAGGAGGAGGAGGACGACGACGACGACGACGACGAGAAGGAGGAGGAGGAGGAGTAGGAGGGGGAGGAGAAAAGGGGGCAGACGAGATCCCCATCCAGGCGGGTACATCGGCCAGTGGGGCCCAGGCCACGACCTTGGGGATGGGGATCGGCTAAACGAGATTCGTTGCCGAAGGCTGGGTGCAGGTACACAATGCCAGAGTAAACCCCTGGTGCCCCGAACTCTAATCGGTTATGTTTGGTTGTGCGGTTATATGTCACTCCTGCACCTCACGTGTCCTCCCACCTCCGATAGCACATCGCATGTTCCGTCCCGTCTCCGCGCCTACGCTTGTGCTCTCGGTCTACTTTCCTGCCCGTCGTTTTTCTTCACGTGAGTTCCACAGGAGACCCCACAGCAGCGGACAGAAAAGATGGCCGCTCGCGCCTACGAGCTGAAGAAGCGGCGCGAGGAGGGGGCGAGCGGCGAGCGGGGACCTGGGAGGAGCAGGCATGCATGGGGCCAGACATGAGCAGTGTGGAGGTCGTAGGTCTCATCTGGAAGAGGTCAAACGCTGGAGCAACAGGCGAGCGTGGGGGGCACGCTGCGCCCCCCGAGCGAAAAAAAAGTGGAGGCAAGTGCCGAGTTGGTGCAGCACAATCGCACGCGGGTGCTGCGGACCTCACTGGTCCGCCGCCGCGTCGCGGCCCTTGCCTCGCACCCGCACGCGGCGGCGGCTTCGACCTCATCTTCTTTCCTCCGCCCGCCTTCCTCTCCGCAACCCCCCCCGTGCCTCCGCTCCGGCCCGCGAGGAGGAGGAGGGAGGAGGGAGGAGGAGGAGGAGGAGCAGGAGCAGGAGGAGGAGGGAGGAGGAGCAGGAGCAGGAGGAGGAGGGAGGAGGGAGGAGGAGGAGGAGGAGGAGGAGGAGGAGGAGGAGGAGGAGGAGGAGGGAAGAGGAGGCCCGCCGTCCTGTCGGGCGCGCGCCTCGTGTTGCCCGGCGACCCACGCCGACCGCCGCCCGCCCTTGCCGTGCGCTGCGCTGGCCCTGGCACCCCGGTGGCGGCACGGCAGGTTCGCGTCGTGCCGGCCGGCGGCAACCCCGCCGCCAGCGTACCACGCTGAGACCCGGCGACCCAGAGTCGGTCGATGTCGAAGGATCTGACGTTGCGGGGACGGCCGCTCGGTCCAGGTTGAGCGACCCCCGAGGTGTCAGAAGCAGACGCGCAGGTCGTCACGACACGAGCCCGCCGTGGTGTGGCTCGCTCGCCCGCGACGGCGAGCAGGCCGAGCGTCGACAAAGTCAGCTTCCGTGCCCGGCTCTCGTCGAGCAGGAGAGCTGACCCAGGCCTCGTACGACGACCGTTGCATCGGCGCTGTGCATGTTGCGCCCAGCGATCTCCAGACCTGGTCCCCCTTGAGCCTCGCTCGGTCGACCACACGCTCTTGCATCCCTGGCAAGACCGCTCTGCGCAGCCGCTGATCCTGGTCAGTCCCGGATGCCTCTGATGTTGCATTGCATTAGCTTCTCGTGCTCAACTCGCGATCCCTTAGCTTGGTTTGCCGCTTCGACCGAGCTGAGCGTCCGCCTGCGATGTGACAACGTTGGGCCCGACGGTGGGCGGCAGACTCGCGGATCCCACTGAGATCCTGGGCGGGTCCGACTGTGGGGGGGCGGATCCGCATTCCCCGCTGTGGAGCCATGTTCGGTGTAGGAGTGTCCAGGTGCTTGCGGCAAGTTCCGCCGCCGTGCTAGGGCAGCACCCTGTGCAAAGCGACACTCATTGCCCCTCAACTGCGGAGCGACGTAATATGCGACACGCCGTTCCGCAGACTCGGCACGGCCGTAACATGTGATAGGTCTCTGCCTCAGGGCCCAGAGAGGTGTAGCACGTGGCGCCTCGCGTCCACATGTCCAAGTCCCACGTACAGAGTGCCCAGTAGATCAATCTACCCCAGCGAAGGAGGCGGGACGAAGGAAGGGGAGCTCTCCCTACGAAACGTGTGCGAGGTGCGCCGAATCGGGTGCGGGTACCCCATGCGGACTTCACCGCTGGGCCCCATCGGTGGAGCTCCCTCTGGGGCCACGAAGCGTGAAAAGGGTGTGTCGAATCGGGCCCAAATCGGGTGCGGGCGCTCCATGCGGACCTTACCGCTGGGACCTTCGGTGAAGCTCACTTTGGAGCCACGAGACGTGTGAGGGGTGTGCCGAATCGGGTGCGGGTGCGCCATGCTGACCTTACTGTGGCCTTTCGGGGGCCTTCGGCGGAGCTCCACATGGGGCCATTGAACGTGTGAGAGGTGTACCGACATGGGCGTGGTGGCCTAGGGTTGATGTTGGCCAGGATCATGATGACAATTTTGATGACGACGGAGATTGATGATGATGGTGGTGGCGATGCCGATTCTAACGTTGGTAGTGTTGGTGATATTGATGTTGATGGTGCTGGTGATGGTAGTGATGAATCTGATGATGACGATGATGACGACGACGAAGGTGGTGGCGATGGTGATGATGCTGATGATGGTGGTTATGATGGTGGTGATGATGATGGTGGATGTGGTGACGATGATAGTGATGGTTGCGGTGGTGGTGTGGCAATGATGGTGACGAAGATGTTGACGAGGACGACGATGATGATGATGATGATGATGATGATGGTGGTGGTGGTGATGATGATGATACTGCTGATGATGACGGTGATAATGCGGATGGTGTTGATGATGCTGATCATGATGATGGTGGTGGTGGTGATGATGCGGCTGATGCTGTTGATGATGATGATGCTGCTGCTGGTCATGATGAGGGCGAGCACTAGTATTGCAATGGTGATGGTGATGAGGACATGCGGAGGACAGAAACACGGACGGGATGTGCGAGGGGAGAATGCGGAGGAAGGATGAGGACGCGGGACGGTGTCGGTTCAAAACGACGACCCACTACCACAGGATGGTTGTGAAAAAAACGTCGTGACCTCTTGGAACCCTCGTGGGCGACTCGGGACCTCGCGGGGCCGCTTGGGTGAGTCATGGGGGCATCCTGGGCGCAAATGACCACAGAGCAACCGAATGGTATCGTCGATCGCGCCACCAACGGCATTCCCACAAGGGAACCGAAAGAGGAACCGTAACATCCTGAGCAGCACTTCCTAAACTCAGCTAGGACATGTCCAACACAGTGTTCCTGTGTAGCCTTGGTAGGCCCACCCTCATCTGTGTTCAGGGACTGCATCGATAGGGAGTTCCCGCACGCGCGGGGCCGCAAGGAAATAGTGCTGCAGTTAGGCATTCTGCACCCCAGGTTCATTGTATGGTTTCGACGAGAGTCGGCACCGTTCGCTGTAGTTATTCCCGGGGCCGTCTCGGCGTCATTCCAGGGGCCATATGGTTTTGGGGGCTAAGAGATGCTCGTTGGGATTGCATGGGGCACCAAATGCGTGAGGTGTGCGCCGAGACGAGGCCTCACTCAGCCGTCTGTGAGCTGAGCGCCTATGGCGGGCCCATGTGGCCGAAATGTTGCGCGAGGGGTGTGCCGAAAAGAGGCTCGAAGGAGAATTGGTGACCGTCCCTGAAGATACATGGGGCACGAAGTGCGCGAGGGGTGTGCCGAAATGAAGCAGCATGCAGCCGTCTTGCAAGGGCAGCTGAGCGGATCTTGGCTCCATAAGGCACGGAGTGCGTGAGAGGTATACCGAGATGAGGATCCATTTAGCCGTCGCTGGAGGCCAGCGGAGAGACGCTGAAGGTCCAAGGTACACAAAGTGTGTCAGGGGTGCGCCGAAATAAGGATCCTTTCAGCCGCCTCGAGGCGCAAGCATCGAGCCCTTGGGGCCCATGGGGCACGAATTGCGTGAGCGGTGTGCCGAGATGAGGCTCGCTTGCGCCGTCGTGAGCGCAAACGAAATGCGTGAGGGGTCGGCCAACTTGTCGCGATTTGGGGTCAGCTGTGTGCCCCTGGAAGCCCACAAGCCACGGAATAGTGTTGCTTCCCTGAAGCTCGCGTTGCGCGCGCCGGCAATTCCAGTAGTCCAGATGTTCTTGACACACGGGGGTCGTGGACCTCAATAATCCTACAAGCCGACAACAAGATGACAGTCCCTCTGTTGGAGTTTTTGGGCACGCCGCTACGTGTTTAAGGCAAAGTGGCGGAGTTGTGTCACGAGGGATCATGGCCTGGGGAGCGCGGATCCGCATGTGGTGTCCTCGAGGGATCGTGGCGGCGGGATCGCAGATCTATTGCTCTTGCTCCGCGGGTTCGTGGCTTCGGGAGCGCGGATCCTTCACTGCCTACGAGGGATCACGGCTTCAAAATCACGTGCCCACGGGTGTTGGCAGCGGATCGCCGCCTCGGGAGCGCGGATCCGCTGTTACAACGGATCGTGGCTTCGGGAACGCTGACCCATTTGTTTCACGAGTGGTGTTGTTTGGATCCGTAGTTTTTGAAAGGGGCCGTGGCCTCGGCAACGCGGGCCCATACTTTTCCACGTTGGAGCTTGACCTCGAGAATGCGGATCCATCGTGTTCTTAGGTGCTCCAGGACACTCAGAGATGGTTGAGGTGAACCGGAGTAATCCCACGATCTCGGCTGAAGTCGGGGGCGGACAGAACCCCCAACAGAGACACGTCGATTCGTCAATTGTCCGTTTTCGGTTCTCGAGAGGGCGCCGCGGCCATTATTTTCCAGGCTTGCGCCCGCCAGGTTTGGGCCTCAGGTCGTTTTCACTAAACCACGTTTTACTAAAGGGGGGTCTGTCCATCCTCGATGAAGGCAAAAAAAAGATCAGGAATGTTCCCAGGGTCTCGGGGCAGCCGGGGGGGACACGAGCCAGAGGATCTGACAGGCTGTGGCCCATTGCACCGGCGAATTTGGGGTTCGTGTTCCTTCATGATTGTTGCGCGAATGGGCGTTCGGGCGAGCCAGGGTCAAGGAAGAAAGCTCTTCTGTCCGGGTCCATACATCTGAACGGACGTTTTCTTCCACCACGATGTTGGGCTTCAGGATGCTAAGAGGAAGGCGAGTCGGCCTTTGCAAGAGCCATGGATGGGGAGATAAGATTGCAAGAGTGTGGTTCTTATTCGATGGTTGCCTTTTACACGTTGATTTGCCGTGTCTTGCTCAGGCTGCCGTTATTGGTGTTGCGGTGTTTGTTCATTGTGTTGATGCCCGTGTTGCCATATTGTCTGCCCATATGCGCCAATGTGTTGTTGATCCGATGTTGGCGACCCTTCCACAGCTGCATGGCATATCGTTGTTTCTGCGATTTCAAGATCCGCCATCTCATGGAACCGCATCCGACGGCGAATAAGCATCGAGGAAGCAAACGCGACTCCCCCGTCGTTCAGGAGGCAAAAAAAACACAGACACAATTAATCGTCGATTCCCCGGAAAATATGCGCAAATATGGGAAGTGGGTGGAAGACGAACATACAGCAAATATGGGAAAATATAGGAAATCCTGTTATTTGTGTGTATATCTATTTGTGTGTCCCAGGGCCCCTTCAGTCGTGACGATTTTCCTCACCGCGCTCTGGGAACAGTGTTGACCCCGCCCCATCAGGACGAGCGGAAGGCGATAGTCCAGGACGGCATTGCGCTTCTCTGCTACCAAGGTTTGCTTGCCAGGCTTAAGCTGCGGCCCCGCGTGTATCTTGACGAATTCCAGATTGCGTTTGCCGAGCGCGGCAGTAGTGACAGGTGTAGTTGATTCCGTGCGTGGACAGTTACGCAGCGACAGATAGTGCGGTCCGATGTTTGCTGTCAGGTCCTTCGACCTGGGGTTGCGAATGGCCATGTTCTTGACAAGACCAAGCCTGGGCTTGCTCTTGAATCACGAGTGGCCAGAGATCTGAACACAGTCAAGCAGATTCTGACCAGGCAGAATTGTTGACGCTTCGCATATCCCCACCAGCCGGTGGCCGCCCCTCTTCCTTATTTGTTTTGCAGGTGCATTTCGCGCGTTCTCGCGCCAATTATCTTGCGCTGTGCCCCAGCCTCGGTCATACCGCCCTCTGGACTTCTCCTTGCGGGCCGCAAATCAAAAAAAGTATCCCCACCAGCCCATCCAGAAACGATGCCCAGGGGAGTTGAGGTGATCAGGGAAGTCGGGGAGCATGCAGAATAACAAAGGGCGGGGGAAGCTGTCACGTACCCCAAGAGGGGGAGGATGGAGAAGGAATCCTCGTCGGAGGGGGAGGGGGTGGAAGAGGAGGAGGAGGAGGAGGAGGAGGAGGAGAATGAGGAGGAGGATGTGGAGTAGGGAGAGGACGAGGAGGACGAGAAGGAGGAGAAGGAGCAGAGGGAGGAGAAGGAGGAGAAGGAGGAGAAGGAGGAGGAGGAAGAGGGGGATGAGAAATTGAAGAGGACGGCGAACCGAAGAGCCAGAAGCGTCTTAAATGCATTTCGGAGATCCTCTTGAGGCTTCTTGGGGGTCTCTTGGGAGCCTCTTGGAGGCCTCTTGGGCGCCTCTTGGGGCCGCCTGGGCGCCTCTTGGGGCGCTCTTGGGGCGCTCTTGGGGGCTGTAGGGGCGCTCTTGGGGCGCTCTTGGGCCCATCTTGGAGGAGATCGATCAACGAAGGGCTCCCTAATTAGCCTCCCCCCTCAGGAGCTCCAAACATCGCCTCTTGGGGAGCTCTTGGGGCGCTCTTGGAGCGCTATTGCGCGCTCTTGGGGCCGTCTTGGGGCTCTCTTGGGCCGCTTGTGGGGCCCTCTTGGGCCATCTTGGAGCCATCTTGAGGCCTTGGATGGCCATCGGGAGCGAAACGGGGAGAAAGCCAAAAACATTGATGTCCCAAAGGTTTTGGGACGAGTTCGGCCTCTTCGGGGCCTCCTTGGGGAGCTCTTTGGCCACTTGGAGCCGTCTTGGGGCCGTCTCTGGGCCTCTTGGAACCATCTTGGGAGCCATCTCGAGCGATCTTGTGCTATCTTGAGCCATCTGGGAGCTCATCTTGGGCTCGCTGAGGCGCTCTTGGAGCCATCTTGGGGCCAAAAGAGCCGTCCGACCGCTCGCGAACCCCTCCGTCCAGGTCCAGGGGAGGGGGTAGGGGGAGGGGTAAACCCCTCCCCAAGGGGGAAGAGGGAGGGGTGGAAGAGGATCTGCTCTAGACCACCTACGCCCAGAGGGCTGGTGGGATTGCACCACTATTGTTGTTCCAAGGCGGCCCACAGTCTGCATCAACGTGACAGTTCAGCTGCCACGCATATCCACGTCTCGCGTTCTGGGCGGGGGAGGGAGCAGGTGAGGGGAGGGGATGGTTGGGTGGAAGGCCCGGATCGCCCCACCCCAGATTTCAGCAGGCGTTGCAGTTATCGTAGTTATGTTCGGATTCATCCAAGTAGTAGCATACCCGAACACATGCTCAGGGTCATCAAGGTAGCAATGTAGTTGCATACGTGCATTCGGTAATGCCTGGCGAAGCCAGGCCTTGATACATGCGTAGTTGCCCCGTGGCATGATAACGGCTACAATATAGGGTGTGCCAGTTGCACAAGCGTTCCGAGTCCCGTACGTCTACGCCCGCGCAAGGGAAACCATGCGAAGGGAGTTCCCGCTTGCACATGCCGCGTTTTGTCTGCGGTGGCCCCTGGCCAATGAAACTCCGCCAGCCTGTGAGACGTGGCTCGGGACCCTCGGTCTGTGGGGCGATGCCCTTGCTCTGAGGCCCGTATTCTACGCCTTGCAGCCTGTTCAGCAGTCGTAGGAGGAGGGGGAGGAGGAGGAGGAGGAGGAGGAGGAGGAGGAGGAGGAGGATGCGTAAGAGGATCAGGAGGAGGAGGAGGAGGAGGAGGAAGAGGAACGGGAGGATGGTGATGAGGGGAGGATGTGGAGGAGGAGGAGGAGGAGGAACAGGAGGACGATGAGGAGGAGGAGGAGGAGGAGGAGGACGACGACGACGAACAGGAGGACGATGAGGGGAGGAGGAGCAGGAGGAGGAGGCCGAGGAGGAGGAGGAGGATTGTGGCCAGTGGTTGGCGGCAGGTGCCGCGTGGTCGTTGGCCTACTGGCCCGCGGAGCGTGGCTTCGTGGCCGGGTGCCCGTGACCCTGCCGGCCGCGGGGGCGTGGCCCGCAGGAGGCCCGCAGCGGGCCATGAGGGACCGCGAGGGAAGGGCCTCGGTCCCCGGGCCACCGAGTCAGGTCCAAGGTGCCGCAATCGGGGGCAGCAATACAGTGGGGGCGCGCATCAAGAAACCATCTACTTTTCGTCAGGGTATCCTGGGTTTCTTTGTTCCCCGCGCTGCGCGTTGACTTCCCTCGGCCGTTGAAGGAGCTGCTGCGTTCAGGGTGCTCCAGGTTTCCCCTCAGGTGCACCTCGCGCACGGGTTCTCAGGGTTGGGTTTCTTGCGAGGGTTTCTTGCGGCCGCGCCCGCACTGTAGGGGGGGATAGGCATAGGGGGGGATGCATCGACCCCCAATCGCCCATTGATCGCCGATAGGGGCCCGATAGCCCCAACCTGCCCAGGAAGGTGCGGATTCATTATCGGAGGCCTATCGCCGATCTATCGGCGATGTATCGCTGATTCCAGGTCGATGCATCCCCCCCTATGCCAGCCCCCCCCCCGATCGTTGCCTCTCACGCAAAGGGCCATGGCTCGCCTCTATTCTGTTCCCCAGGAGAAGCTGTACCAGCAGTGGCGCAGCGGACTGGACGACGTCCGCGTCATGGACTCCAAGATCGTGACGCTGAAGGCAGCCAGTGAGCGAACGTCTCGAGATCGCGAGAGAGAGAGAGAGAGCCTCTGCAAGCCCTCGGCCCCGCAGGGGGAGAAGAGTCAGCTGATGCTGTGTTCGAGTCGGCGGTGCCTTCGTTTTGCCTCCATCGGCACGTCCGTTTGTCCTTCGCCGCGCCTGCGAAGTGCGCTGCCGTGTGGATGTGTGGCAGCTCTCATAAGGGGGGAGCAGAGTTGGCTGTGTGCGTCCTCGTCTGGCGCAGCTCTGCCGAGCCTCCCATGGGCCCACACCCTGAGGCACGCCAGTTTACTGTTGGCAGCACCCTAGAAGACAAGATCCCATTGCGGCCACCGTCGGACGCCGTCCCACTGGAGCCCCCAGGAGGTCGGAAAAGTTTGGGAGCTCTGCGTTTGGCTCCGGAGGGCGAGGCTCCACGTGGGTCGTGGTCGGAGCCTGTTGCTGGGTCGCGCAGAACGCCACCCGACGGAGCCCTGAGCAGCTCGGAAGGTGAAGACGGATGCGGGTTGAGAGCACCCAGGGGGGTTGTAGAGACACGTTGTTCGCATCCCCCCTCTCTCCTCCTTCTCCTCCTCCTCCTCCTCCTCCTCCTCCTTCTCCTCCTACTCCTCCTCCTCCTCCTCCTCCTCCTCTTCCTCCTCCTCTTTTTCCTCCTCCTCTTCCTCCTCCTCCTCCTCCTCCTCTTCCCCGTTCGTCTCCATCTGCCCGGATCCGAGGCCGTTGGCGATCTGTGTTCGCCGTGGGCGCGTGTCCCGCGTCTCACTCCCCTTGTCCTTGGCGCTGGTCCCTCGCTCCCCGTATATGGCGATAGCGTGCGAGTGTACGATGTTCCTACCTATGTCAAGTGGTTTCAAGCTCCATGCATCGCTCGGACGTGTGCATTGTTCCTTCGGCGAGGACCATCGAGGAGCATCCTTGAACATCTGGCGAAAAAACCACGCACGAAACCGAAAAAAAAACACTGGGAATGGACGTCCGAGCGATGGCCAGTACCTATGTCAAGTGGTTTCAAGCTTGCCTCCCTGAAGTGCACTGTCGCGCTGGTGTCCACTCGCACCTCCCCTCCAGATGCGAACATGTCGAGGGAGAAGGGGCGTGGGCGAAGGAGAGGACGAGTACGAATTACTTCATTCAAAGCGACGGCAACACCAGAAGGTGTTCGGGAGAATGGTGCCCACTGTCGCACCAAATCAACCCCAGACGTTAGCCACTCCGTAGCGCGCCACTTCGCCAGATTCCCGAAAGCCAGAAGCTGGTACAGCCTCAAGTTTGGCAACACCCAGGGATGCGAGGTCAGTGTCCATGGGGCGGCACCCCGCTGGATAGCGAGGGTTGTCTGTTTGGCAGCTTCCAGGGGAAGCTGGAACAGATAGACGCGGGATGAAGGATGGGACAGAAGGGGAGAGACAAAACAGTTGAGGACAGAGAGGAACACATAGTAGAGCGAGTGCAAAGAGACAAGAGGAGAAGAGAAGAGAGGAGAGGTCAGGGTAAGACACAAGAGGAGATGAAAATGCAGGATGGAGGGTGAAGAGACAGACAAGGACAACACTTGCTTTGTTCAACTGGGGGCACGACCAAAACAGGGATGGAGACAAAAACGGAAGCCGGAAACGCAGGACCAGGAACCCAGCCGACCGCAAGCGGCGGCATTCCCGGAACCATAAACCCAGATGCATCTAGGTTGCCTTTTGCAGCCCGTTGCACTTTCCCACGAGATGTCCACAGTTTCTCTTGGGAGCTCTGGCGTGCGAGAATCGGCTAGTCGAGGACAGGAGTCATCACGGCCAGCGGCTTCGAATGGTGGAGGCGCCGTAACTCAGGAGTTCGCCGTGGTATCGCTGGGCCACGACGTGCGCACAGGCTCTGCACGCTCACCGTGACTAGGGCAGTATGTGCACGGTGTGAAGATCTAGTTGGATTTTGTCTGGCAAGCACTAGGAAACACAATACCATGCTCGTATTAAGTAGCATCCTCTCCCTCTTCCTCCTTGTTTTCTCCTCCGTCTCGCAACCGTCATCGTCCCGCAAGTTGTCCGTTGCTTGACATCTACGTTGGTCAATACAGTGGTGAATGAATAGTTGCACAAAGCTTTGCCATGAATGGTTCCGCCTCCCATCTCATGGGTTGCCCTAGACCATCGCCGACCGCGATGCGCAGCTGGACGAGAAGGCACTGCCTTGGGTGCTCCCTGAGACCAGGCAATGGAGATGAGTGGAGGAACGGGGATGAGCAGCGCTCGTCCTGTGTGCACCCGCATATTCGTTGCGCTGCCTCGCGTCCGCTCTCTCACTCTCTCTCACTCTCTTTTTTTCTGTCTCTGCGGGGAAATGGCGTTTCCATGCAAGGAATGCTCAGACAAAGTTGCAGTCATGAGCGCTCGAATTGTTTGACGCGTTGTGCTTGAAACCTCGCCGTAGTGGGCTTCTGTGGGACATGTTGCTGTTGTTCAGGCCTTGGGGCGAGTGCCAAACCAGGCTGGGGAACAGTCGGAAATTCACAGGTTGCCCAAGCAGCATGAAGTACATCATACAAAACGAGTAGTTCTCGGCCAAGCCCCAAGAGGTAGGAACGCCAGGTGCCGCTAGAGCGTCCAGTAAGAAGCGAACCCAGAGGGCACAACACCCTGGCGCAGCACGGGACGCGCTTGTAAGTTAGAACCTCCGTGTTACGGCATGAATGTTTCGCTGTCCGATTCGAAGTTCTAGGACAATTTTGCATTGGATTGCACAGGGTGGGTCAGCGCAGTGTTCGAGGCGTTCCTTTCGGCTACTTGGGAAGACCTGGTAGGGCACCGGTCCGCACCAGTGTGTTTTCAATGTTGCCCGACCCCCCCACACTGGAAATCGAGGGTAAATTTGGGCCTTCGGGTTCGGTTGACGTGGTTTGGTGGGTGGCGGGCAAACACATCGAGACCGAGAGAAAGAGGACGCAGGCCGAGGACGGGGAACGTGGACCGTTGCAATGACACATCCCGATGTAGGCGCTCATTCGGACGTCACACGCAATGGTCTCCAGAGTGCACAGATGGCCGTACATGTGACAGGGCACCGCAAGACACTGTCGGAATGCTGTGGCGCATGTTGGAAAGCGCTTTTGAGGCGTGGACCATTACTGCGTACCTTCAGCATGTGCCACGAATGGTCGAAACAGCGACAGCATCTCGAGAAGACTTCGCTGTTTCGGTCGATCCTATGGGGATCACCGCGAGTCCGTCGGCTTGTGCGGCGGGTGCTCCGAGCGGGGGCGGCCAGATGTAGCCGCGGGGGAAATTATCTTGGCGAAGGAACCAACCATACGTCGCTGCGAGTCCCGCAAGGCAAGTGAAATGAACGCATGCGGGCGCAGCCACTGGGGTCTTCGGTGGAGCCTCCTGTGGGGCCACGAAGTGCGTGCGGTGTGTGTGTGTGTGTGTGTGTGTGTGTGTGTGTGTGTGTGTTTGTGTGTGTGTGTGTGCGTGTGTGTGTGTGTGTGCGTGCGTGCGTGCGTGCGTGCGTGCGTGCGTGCGTGCGTGCGTGCGTGCGTGCGTGCGTGCGTGGGTGCGTGCGTGCGTGCGTGCGTGCGTGCGTGCGTGCGTGCGTGCGTGCGTGCGTGCGTGCGTGCGTGCGTGCGTGCGTGCGTGCGTGTGCGTGTGCGTGTGCGTGTGCGTGTGTGTGTGTGTGTGTGAAATTGTGGCAGGTGCCACAGGCGGGCGCTGCCACCAGGTCCTTATCCTGAGCTCCACACTGGGCCTGGGCCACGACATGCGCGAGAACGCTGCAAACATATGATTGATAATGCTGGGGGGACACCGCCACTGTGGGTCTTCGGTGGGCTCCGGCTGGGGCCAGGGAGCCTGCGCGGGGTGCACCAGCACATGGCGGGGCGGCGCCTCGCGAACGCCGCCACTGGGGCCTGCGGTAAAACTTTTCTCCTGGGGCCGCGCAGCGCGCGAGGGGCGTGGCGACACCGGAGGCCGCCGGAGGCCCACGACACGGAGGTGTGCGAGGGGCGTGCCGAAGTCGGAGGCGTCGGAGCGCATGCGAACACCGCGCGCATAGAGGCATTCGTGGAGCTCCCTGTGCCGTGGCGGGCCTTTGTCCGCCTGCAGGCTCGCTCCCCCCGCCGTAGGGTGCCTGGCTAGACGTGGCGGACAGAGCGTGGAGCCACGGAGCGGGTGAGGAGCGTGCCGAGATGAGAGGCGGGAGCGCATGCGAAGACCGCCATGGTAGCTTTCGGTGGAGATCCCTATGGGGCCAGGAACGTGAAAGAGGTGTGCCGGATGAGAGGCAGGAATTCATGCGGTCGCCGCCACTGAAGCTTCTGGTGGAGATTCTCATGCGGCCACGAAACGTGTGATGGTGGTGTTGATGTTGGTTACGATGTTGGTGAGGATGATGTGAATGTTGGCGTTGATGCTGCTGTTGATGCTGTCATCGTTGGTGACGTTGTTGACGAGGATGCGAATATGATTGCACGGACGACGATGATCAGCATCAGCATCATCATGGTGGTGGTGATGAGGACGATGATGATAATGATGATGATGAGGATGACGATGCTGATGATGGCGATGACGATGACAACGATGATGGTGATAACGGCGATGAAGATGATGATGCTGATGGTGATGATGGATATGATGATGGTGGTGATGATGATGGTACTTGTGACGAACATGATGGCGATGATGATGACTATGAAATGCATATGATGTTGAATATGGTGATATGATGATACTGATGGTGTTGTTCATGATGGTGATGATGAGGACGACGATGATGATGCGGATGCTGATTATGAGTTGATGATGATGGAGATGATGACGGTGATGGTGATGGTGATGGTGATGGTGATGGTGATGATGCGGGTGGTGATGATGATGATGCGGAAGATGATGATACTGATGATGGTGATGGCGATGGTGATGGTGATGGTGCTGGTGCGGGTGCAGGTGATGAGGAAGGAGGCGAGGGAGGAGAGGGGCGAGGCGGAGGACACCGGGAGCTGCTGAGTCAAAGCAAGACCCAGCACCACAGCACGGCTGGGAAAAGACGCAAGCGCAGAGACGCCCCGCAATTCGTCCCTCTCGCCGGGGGGGTGGGGAGGTTGGGTCCTCAGGCCCCTGCTGTCGCGGCGGGCGCCCTGCAGCCCGTACCCCCTACAGCCGTGGGGGCGGCTCCCGATTGTCCTCACTCCATTGTGGGCGCCGCGTGGGCGAGCAGAGCTGGAGGTTCTCGGCGGTGGCGAGCGAAGGGGGCGGAAGTGTAAGGGAACGAGGAGTCACAGAAACAAAAGAACTCGAAGGTCCGCGCGGATCTCCGAGTTTTTGTGTTTATGTGATGCTTCGTTCCCCTGAAGTGATAAGGAGGAGTCCTTCTCAGAAGACTCAGAAGTCCCCCTGGCCTCCCGAGAAGTTGTCTAGGCCTTCCCTGGAGACACAGAAAGCTTCTTTCAGAATGCGCGAGAGTTTCTGAGAAGCCCCGACGCATTCTGAGAAGGCCTTCTCCTTTTCAATTCGCCCCGTCGTTCGCCGCCGAGACACTCTTGAATTTCCAGGGTGGTCCGAGGCTTGTGTGGCTTAAGTACGGGGGGTGTCGTTTGAGGCGTTCGATGCTTTGCCCGGAAAAGGGGCGACATCTGGGTGAAGGTATACAAATATTGACGGCATCTGAATACAGTGTTGATGGATTATGTGCCTCACTCCGACTCCCGCGATGGCTCGGGAAAAAAATGCCCGCCTCAGCGGGCAAGTGTTGCCCCGTCAGTGGGCAAGGCCCCTCAAACTTTCAAAGGGGACGTATATCTGACAGGGATGGATTGTGACTGGTGATGATGAAGATGGCTTTCATGCCGTCGGCACCCTCCGATGCCCAAATCACTACAGTGTGAGAGAACCTTTTTTTTATGTATACACATATGTGTAGTATGCATACATACATATCTGCACACATACATGCATGCATGCATGTATGCACCATGCATACATATATCGAGGTGCACATACATGCATACATGCATACGGGCATGCATGCGTACACACATCCATACATACATATATGCATATATACATGCAGGCATGCAGACATACAAACATACATACGTTCATACACAGTTACATACGTACATGTGTGCGGCGTGCGTGCGGGCGTCCATGCATGCATACATGAATGCATGACTGTTCACACACACATGTACATGCATATGTACATGCGTACATGCATTCATGAATGCACATCTATAAACAAACAATCATTCATGTGTTCATACATGCACGTGTATCTAGAAACCTACATATAAGCATACATATTCACATACAGACATGCAGACATGCATACCTACATACTTGCATGCATGCATGCATGCACATATACGTACATACCTAAATTTATACAGAGAGGGGCATAGCATGTTGAATGTTCTCGCCTTTCGGATTCTCGTGTGTCTCGGGGGGTCCTCCTCCACACGGCTTCAGATGCTCCCCAGACGGGCCCAAGACAGCCCAAGATAGGGTCCAAGAGTAAGATCGTCCCGCGAGCAGGGGCCAAGAAGCCCATCACACGGCTTGAGATCCCCACAAGAAGCCGCAAGACGCCTCCACGATGGCACTCGAGGCCGCCCCGACAGCCCTAGGGAGGGTCCCAGGATGCTCTCGGAAGGCCCCGAGCGCGCCCCGAGTGGCCCTAAGGAGGGTCCGAAATGGACCGTGGTCGACCTGAAACAATGCGAGCCACATATGTTCAGCGATAGCGGGGCGCGGCCGGCTGCGCACAGCCTGCATGAGCCGCAGGCGCCGTAGTTTCGCCTCGGGCGAGGCCACTTGAGATCACTGGGCAACGCGAGGGACGCTGTTCGTTCCCGGGTCCAGCAGCCTGTCCCATACTCGCCCAGGGAGGGTGTCGGAGTGCCCCTGCACGGCGTGGCCACGGGCCTGAGAGCCCAGCGAAGTGCGTGTCGGACCGAGGTGTCGCTGGTACAGTGGAAGCCCATTCCAAGAGACACCCTGCTTGCCTCCAGGGTGCCCTGGGTTTCTTGGGCTTCGACGGTTTTGCGATGGAAAGCATGACGTTCCCACACCAAAAATCAATGAAAATCCTGGAGTCTCAGGCTGAGGATTGGGTTTGTGGTCGAGCTCCTACTGCATTGACTCGAAAGCCACGGGTGATAGATGTGGTTGACACCTTCAAGCATCTTGGGCTCCTCGGAGGTCCCGTTCCAGATCCTGGAGGCTCCAGGCGGACTGCATCCATCTGGACGCCCCCCTGCCAACATCGGTACAGTAGGTTCGCGTCGTGTCGACTGGCGGGGACTCCGCCGCCCGCGCTCAACTTCGAACGCCGCTGGCGACCCAGAATCGGTCGATGCTGACCTTTCTTGAGTTTCGGAGACGGCCGGTCGTTCAAGGTTGAACGATCCCCGCGGTGTCCGGAACCAACGCCGGGGTCGGCACAGCACGAACTTGCCGTGGCCGCCCCAGGATGAGAACGACCAGCTCGCCGTCCCTCGAGGCCGCTCTGGACCGGGCCGCCTCGCCGTGTGGTCGCTGCGGCCAGACCGAGGCATAAGATCGAGGCCGGCTCGGGGAGGGTGCCCTAGAGTTCTTCGTGCCTGCTGGGTGTTCTTGTGCATCCTGGGGCAGGGTACCCCAGGATGTTCTTCTCGTGTTCTTGATGGACGTTCTTCTGGCCCACTCTGGCGCAAGAGCCTCCCAACGGGGCTTAAATCCTCCTCAGTCCTCCCGGTGAAAAAACCTCCCAGTGGTTGGATCCGAGGCCCACTCTGGCGTAAGAGCCCCCCAACGGGGCTTAAATCCTCCCTAGTCCTTCAGACGAAAAAACCTCCCAGCAGTTTTCCTCCGAACATACCTTTCGCCGGCGGGGAGTTTCGCGACCGAGCGACTGACGACAACGACAACGACGACGAAGGGAGACGACGACGACGACGACGACGACGACGACGACGACGACGACGACGACGACGACGACGACCGTCGGCGACGACGACGACGCCGAACAGTGACAACGACTGACGGCGACGACCGACGGACGACGACGACGGCGACGACGGTCGTCCGACAGACCGGCAGACCAGCACCCAGCAGGCTGCGCGCGCGGAAGAGGAGAAGAGACACCACGAGTTCTACGACAAGCTGTGGCACGAGGCCGCCGGGCATCTTCAGACGGCCAACGGGCAGGTGAAGCAGTGGAGCGGGGCTGAATGCCAGGGGAGGGGGGAGAGGGCGACTGGAAGCTAGGGCCACCACGAGGGTGCGAAGTTCGTCGCGCTTCGCGGCCTGGGCGATGTCAAAGCGAGGCGCGAGTCCCTCATCTTGTTCTGGGGAGGGCAGGCGGCGCGAAGGCGCGAAGATGATCGCGCTCCGCGGACCGCGACGCGCAACGACAGTTGCCCCAGGTAGGGGACCGAGAAGAGGGGGAGGGCAGAGGAGTGGGGGGGGAAGGGGAGCGGGAGGGAAATCGCGGGACGGGATGGGGACGAGAGCGCAGCGCACGCGAAGGGGCGGGAGGCCGAGGAGAGCACGGAAGAGGGCGGGGGGGATGACCACGTGCGGCACTCCGCCTTGCTCCCGCTGCCCCCGCTCCGCCCGTGGCTGCGATATCAGGGCGTGGGCCGGAGCCCAGCCGCGGAGGCCTGGGCAGCGGCCTCTTCGCGGGCGCGGACGGATCTGGTCCTTGCTGCTGCGATGGCGCCGGAGGAGGCCCCGTGCTCAGGGGAGACGGCAAGGGGCACCTGTGCCGCTGTCCTCCGCCCGACTTCCCCTTGTGTCGGCTTCCTGGGGGTGCCCTCGTCGCCACCGCTGGAGCCGCCGCGACATTCTCGCCCAGACGCCTCCCGGGAGAGGCCCCGGGAGTGGCGGCATCGGTACCAATTGCTCGGCATCGCTCGGACGTGTGCATTTTTCCTTCGGCGAGGACCATCGAGGAGCATCCTTGATCAAATGGCGAAAAAACCATGCACGAAACCGAAATTAGCCTGGCGAAGGACCCAACCATATGCAGCTGCGAGTACCGCACGGATATGAGACGAAGACACTGAAAGTGTAACCCGGGAATGGTGGTCTGGGAGCACGAAGAACACGAACTGCATGGACTCATAGAGAACAAAATTACAAGGTACGGGTGACGCACTTCATATACTGGGGACGCCCTGAGTTGGAAGCAGAAGGGTCGAACCTGATGCTCTGCCCGTAGATTTGGACCGTGAGATGGAGTGGCAGGGCCCTCAGAAGCGACTTCCACAGCCCATTCTCCACGGATGACCCCAACGGTTCCAGCCACCCGATAGCCACCCAGACGTGCCAACGCATGTGTCACCAGAGTCTCAAGCTCCCCCCGACCTTCGGTGGAGATCCCTATGGGGCCACGAAACGTGTGAGGGGTGTGCCGAAATGGGTGTTGGGGAGTGCCGAAATGAGTGGTGGGGAGGCATGCGAACCCTGCCACTGGGGCCTTCGGTGGAGCTCCCTATGGGACCACGAAACGTGTGAGGGGTGTGCCGAAATAGGTGGTGGGGAGGCATGCGGACCCTGCCACTGGGGCCTTCGGTGGAGCTCCCTATGGGGCCACGAAACGTGTGAGGGGTGTGCCGAGATGGGTGGTGGGGAGGCATGCGAACCCTGCCCTGGGGCCTTCGGTGGAGCTCCCTATGGGGCCACGAAACGTGTGAGGGGTGTGCCGAAATGGGTGGTGGGGAGGCATGCGAACCCTGCCACTGGGGCCTTCGGTGGAGCTCCCTATGGGGCCACGAAACGTGTGAGGGGTGTGCCGAAATGGGTGGTGGGGAGGCATGCGAACCCTGCCACTGGGGCCTTCGGTGGAGCTCCCTATGGGGCCACGAAACGTGTGAGGGGTGTGCCGAAATGGGTGGTGGGGAGGCATGCGGACCCTGCCACTGGGGCCTTCGGTGGAGCTCCCTATGGGGCCACGAAACGTGTGAGGGGTGTGCCGAAATGGGTGGTGGGGAGGCATGCGGACCCTGCCACTGGGGCCTTCGGTGGAGCTCCCTATGGGGCCACGAAACGTGTGGCCGATGATGGATGATGATGCGATGATGATGACGACGATGATGATGATGATGACGATGATGATGATGATGGTGGTGGTGGTGATGATGATGATGACGATGATGATGATGATGATGAGGATGAGGATGAGGATGAGGAGGAGGATGATGATGATGACGATGATGATGATGATGATGATGATGATGCTGATGCTGATGCTCATGCTGATGCTGATGCTGATGATGATGATGATGACGACGATGATGATGATGATGATGACGATGGGAAGAGGGAGGATGGGGAGGAGGAGGAGGAGAGGAACGCGGGGCACCGTCTCTTCAAAACGAGGACCCAACACCACAGGATGGTTGGGAAAAAACACAGGGAATGGACGTCCGAGCGATGGCCAGCGGTACCCATTGGGTGTCGGCTGGCCGCGCCGCGCCGCCTTGGCCTGCCGCGAGCCCGCGCCCCAGGGCTACCTCGCCAAGATCGAGCGCGAGAAGCTGGAGAAGGAGGCGCTGTCGGCCCGCGGCAGACACCCGGGGGGCGCGCAGCCGCCCCGAATGGGTGAAGGGTGCGCTCTGCCAGCGGCCGGGCAGGGAGAGGTTGGCGCGCTCGCCCCCCCCCCCGCGTGCCCCCTTGCGAGTGAGCTCGCGGCCGCGTGGATGTGCCTGGACCCGCTGGCCCGCTTGTAGTCACCGTCGTCGTGCATGCGTGCTGTGTTCCTTTGTGCACCTGTCTCTATATGTGCATATATGCATGCGAGTGTGAGTTCCATTGCATGTCGCACACCGTTATATAATCATACATGCGTGTGTCTGTGTTGTGAGAATATATAAATATATGTATATATAGAGATATATAAGCATATATCGATGCCTGGTCTTTACCGCTGGCCATTGCGTACCCCTTCACACCAGGTGGAAAAGAGAACGTGAGGACCTCTATCCGCCGCTGGCATCCACAGGCAAGTGGGCGGCAGATGTGCACGATGGAAGCACCCGCGCAGCCTCGCTTGCGACACTTGCTACACCCACTGGATGGGCGAAGCCTCAGTGGAGGCAGAGCGAGTACGCAAGCAGTAGTGGACCCTGGAAACGACAGGGCCGTTTTTTCACCGGTTCCATTTTGCCGTTTTCTTGCCGGTTCCAACGCCGTTGTTTTACCGGTTCCGTCGCCGTTGTTTTACCGGTTCCGGCTCCGGTTCCAATCCTGGAGCCGTTTTTTGCCGTTTCCGGTCGCCGTTTTTTCTAGCCGTTTCCATTTTCAAGGGGCACTTTTTGGGGGAACGGTGAAAAAAACGGCCCTGCCGTTTCGAGACTAGGCGGGTTTCCAACCCTGCGCTGCCGCAGCGAAGGTCTCAGAAGAGCTCGGCAACGCGCAGACGGGGGTAGTGGGAGGGGGGAAGGCTTCTTAGAAGCACCCCTGCTTCTTAGAAGGCGCCGGCCTTGTCTGTAGATGTAAGGCCCGCGCCCTCTAAGAAGCGGCCTCCTTCTAAGAAGCCTTCCCCCCTCCCCCTACCCCCTTGTGCGCGCCGCCAAAGAGCAAAGAAGGCAGGCAGGCTTCCGCACTCCGAGGGACATTGACCGCGGGTGGCCGCGGGGCGAGCCGCCGTGGGGCCCAGGCTGTCCCCCAGAGAGTGCGGCCCCTGGCCGTTCTACCCCCGCCTTGCGATAGGGGAGGAGGCTGGGCGGGTTTCCAGCCCTGCGCTGCCGCAGCGAAGGCCTCAGAAGAACAAAGAAGGCAGGCAGGCTGCCGCACTCCGAGGGACCTGGACCGCGGGTGGCCGCGGGGCGAGCCGCCGTGGGACCCAGGCCCTCCCCCAGGGAGTGCGGCCCCCTGGCGCCAGGCGAGAGTTACATCGGGCGTGTCCCCCATACAGGGGGATCTTCGACGACAAATAACAAATAACCCAAAAGATCGGCTGCTTGGTCCCTGGAGGGGGGGCAGTGGCATGAGCAGTCCTGCGCGGCAGGCGCAGATGATCGCGGCCGCCCAGTGAGCAGCGCAGCGGCGGCCGGCCCTCAGCTTGCGCACCCATTGGATCTGGACGAGACGACTCCCCCCCCCCCCCCGATGCAGCTGTGGCTGCGGGCTCCACGGCCTGGGTGAGGTCCCCGTCGCGCGTGTGGAGGTGTGCGCGGTCCTGCGGCTCGGGAGGCGGAGCGGCTGGTTGCCGCCTGCCCTGCAGCCACCCACGCGGGCACTGCGGCCACGAGCGCGATGGCTCCTGGTGGGGCGGATGGGAGCACGCGGGCAAACAAGGGTACGCCCTGGGCGTACCCTGAGAGGCCCCAGTCGTGCCCTGCTGCGCTCACCCAGTCTCGTCCTGCCCTTGCTCGCCTGGCTCCCTCGCAGACCCCCTTGGGCCTTCAGGCAGCAGCCGGCGCCAGCACCAGAGCGGGCCCGACACCCTTCCCTCGATGCGAGCGCATCCCGCTGGCAAGCTTAAGGGTGCTGGCGGGACGGCGGGTGGCCCTCTGGCAGTGCCTCCTGGAGCCCTTGGCATCGCTCGGACGTGTGCATCTTTCCTTTGCGAAAACCATCGAGGGCCATCCTGGACTATCGAGCAAAAAAAAAAAAAAAAAACACGCACGAAACCGACAAATGCACAGGAAATGGACGTCCGAGCGACGGCAAGAGCCCCTGCCACCAATGAGCCCAGGCCTGAGCCATGCTCGTGGTCTCCCCGCGAGGGGCACGCGTGCACGGCCTGCAGAGGCTGGTGGCCGGGCCGCCTGGTGTGCAGCAAGGTGGAGGCACGAGGGGCACGCCCTTCCCGCCGCGCGGGAGCCCTCGCAGGTATGGACTACACCCAGTGGGCGGGCGCCGACCTGCGCAAGAGCCCCATTGGGAGACACCAGCAGCGCTCAGGTCCAGGCAGGCATGAATAAAGCTTTCTCCGTGGGACATTGGTTGGCCCTCGGTTGCCATCTGCTGCTCCCGAGGCCCACTGGACATGCCTGGCGAGATGATTGCCGCTGAAGTGTGACTTGTCCAAGCCGCCCGCCCGCGCAGAAATTTGCAGGTTTGCCCTATACCTCCCCCGCGCAAGGGCTCACCAGTTGCACCGGCGATTGCAATCTTGGCCGTAGTGTGTCACTGCAGCTGGAACGGCGCCGCACCCCCTTTTGCATGCGCGCGACGGCTGGGTCGGCACGTCCTGTGCACCAGCCAGTGACCTTTGTATATAGTAAATAGTAAATATACCTTCGCAAGAGCTGATGGGGGGACCTTTCAACTAGCGGCATGCGCCATGTGGTCGAACACTCGCCGGCTGGTTCCACGAAGTTAGGTGGCACAGGGTCGCGTCTCGAGCCCTTCGCAAGTCATTTCCCCGTACACACACAAACGGCCCTGTTCCCCGCTTCGCCCACCAGGTTGTCAGTAAGGTCACGGTTCCCTCTGCTTCTCCTTGCGCCTAGCTTGCATCGGCAGCCTCAACTTCCTGCGCGCCCGTTTCTCACACGCATGCATGTCTTTGATTGCACGCCTCGTCTCACTTCGCGTGTCGATCACATCTACGTCCCGGAGAGCGTTTCGACGGTTCCCGCGGCCAGCCTTGGAGGCAGAGAAAGAGAGGAAAGCGCAGATGATCAAGGTCTTGGAGATCCAGCGCAAGATGAAGGAGCGACATCCATGGATGTGTATCGCGTCCAGGTTATCTCGCTCCCCCTTCCTCAGTCGTTTCTCCATCCACTGGGAGAGATTCGGCGGCGAGCGAGGGGGGGAATGGAGAAGAAGAAGAAGGCCTCCTGAGATGTTTCGGAAGTCTTCTGGCCTTATGTGAAGATTTCTCAGCCTTCCCCGAAGACAAACAGAACTTCTCAGAAGGCGCGAGGGCTTCTGAGAAGTCCCGCCGCCTTCCGAGAAGGCCTTCCCCTTCTCGCTTCCCCCCCTCGCCCGCCGCCGAGAGATAACGGGACATGCCAGCCAAGAGGGGAAACCACGCAGACACAATGAATCGTCGATTCCCCAGAAAATGTGGGAAACTATGGGAGGTGGGTGGGGGGGAGAGAAACACCCCGAAAATATTGGAAAATATTGGGAATCTTATGATTCGTGTTCACTCATTTGTGTGTCCCAGGGCCCCTTCAGCCAGGCGCTGGCGCTTCTCGGGAGCAGGGGCCCCCTCCGCGCACGACAGCGGTTCCGAGGGGCGCAGCACACCCGTGCACGGCAGGGGGGGGGGAGGACCGAGGCGGAGGCACGGGGGGGGGCGGGGTGTCCGCGGGGCGCGGGGCGGCGGGGGCGCCGTGGAGGCGGCCGAGGGGGGAGAGCGGATGCAGCTCCTGGGAGGAGGAGGAGGAGGAGGAGGAGGAGGAGAAGGAGGAGGAGGAGGAGGGGGAGGAGGAGGAGGGAGGAGGAGGAGCAAGGAGGAGGATTGGCTGCACGCACCCGAGGAGGGAGGACCGAGGCGGAGGCACGGGGGGGTGGGGTGTCCGCGGGGCGCGGGGCGGCGGGGGCCGTGGAGGCAGCCGAGGGGGAGAGCGGATGCCACCGCCCACCAAACCACCCCAACCCAACCCGAAGGTCTCAATTTGCCCTCCATTTCCAGTGGGGGGGGGTCGGGGAACATTGAGAAAACACGTATGGAACCCGTGCCCCCCCAACCCGAAATTCGGGTCTTGGGGTTGGGTTGGGGTGGTCTGGTATGTAGTCAGGATGTTTCTTCGCCCTGGTCCGAACTCCGGCTCAATCCCGCGGAAGCCCGCTTCATCCGGCTTCATCCCGCTTCATCCCGCTCAATCTGGCTCAATCCTGCTTGGTCCGAGGCCTTTTCCGGCGTCACGGCTCCCAGATGGGGCTCCATCCTCCATCCTCTTTCCGACGAAGACCTCCCAGTTAGGTTGCCTCCTGAGGGGAGAGCGGGACGGGCAGCTCGGCTCGGAGGGCGCACGGATGGGGCTGATCACGAAGGATGGGGCGCGTCGGAGGAGAAACCCCTCCCTCGTTTGGCCCCCTCCCTCCCTCCATCGTTTGTCTCCCTCTTAAGTCCCTCCCTCCCTCCCTCCCTCGTTTGTCTCGCCCTTTTGTCCCTCGTTTTGTCTCCCTCCCTCGTTTGCCTCCCTCCCTCCCTCCCTCCCTCGTTTGTACCCAGACTGCTACCCCTCCCGCGGTTGCCCCTCTCGTGGACCTCCTCCTTCTAGGAGGCCCCCGTCGCCACTGCTGGATTATTCGCCTCGACATGCTGGGCAGAACCCCTCCCGGGGGAGGTCCGGGGAGCAGCGGCATTTTCAGGGGCGGAAAAGAGGGGGGTGATGACGAGGGGGGGGGGGATATCATGGCGGGGGCCATGATATTTCCCCAGATTTCAGGGCGCCTCTTCTTACTTCATTACGTCCCTGGCTCCCCCGCTGGGCCGCGCACATGCCGCCAGTCATGATTTGCACCCCCCCTCTTGGACGCCCCCCTCTTGGCCGCTCCCGGTATTTGTACCTTTTGGTTTCCTCAGGGGTGCGAGTGCGAGGGCCGCAGAGTGGACAAGAGGGCGGAAGAGGGGCCGGCGCAGAGGAGGAGGAGGAGGAGGAGGGAGGAGGAGGAGAGAGGAGGAGGGAGGAGGAGGAGGAGGAGGAGGAGGAGGGAGGAGGAGGAGGGAGGAGAAGGAGGGAGGAGGAGGAGGGAGGAGGAGGAGCCAGCGAGAGTGGACCAGTGGGCGTGCAGGTCCCCACCAGCATGAGCAGAAGGGCTTGGCGTCGGAGCCTCGAGGCTTGCGATCTTGGATGCACGACTTGCCAAGACACCCCAACCCAGCCCGAAGGTCCCAGGCCTCCCTAAATTCACAGGAGGGGAAAAAGACACACAGACACAATTAATCGCCGATCCCCAGGAAAACATGGGAAAATATGGGAAGTGGTGGGGAAGACAAAAACCTAGAAAATATAGGAAAATATGGGGAATTTGTTTATTTGTGTGTATTTATTTGTGTGTCCCAGTTTCCCTTCGTAAATTTCGGGTTGGGGGGTGTATGGGTTCCTAAGTGCTTCCTCAATCCATGTTCTGGGGTCCCCCCCCCCACCGGAGATCCACGATCCCAAAAAGTTCACGTCGACTTGGTTTGGAGTGGCGTGGCAGGTGGTCAAGATTGCGTATATATGTGTACGCGCCGATTCGATACACGGCGCTTGGCGTGAACGCGGCAGGACAGGCCCTTCCTCGTTCATGGCTCGCCTCCTCCGCAGTGTTTCGGCCTTCGTGGGCTCTTGGGGCCGTCTCGGGACATCGTGGGGCCAGAGCCCGTCCCATCATCAGTACTCAATATGAAGTGTACTCCCCTTTCTCCCCCGACTGCGTTCTGAAAGTATCCCTCCCTCTCCGTGTATTGTTTGGTATACAGGGTTTCACACAATGATTGTCCCTATGGATGTTTCAATCGAGACGCGTTCGGTGTTTAATCGTTGTTGAAAAAATGGTGTTACCGTTGCAGCGTGGGCCTCAACTTGTGGATCGGTGTTGTGCTCTGGCCGTTCAGAATGTCGCTCTCGCCCCAGCACGGGATACTGTTCTTGATCCGAGTCCATCCTCATCTTTGTCGCCGTGCTCCTGTCCCCCTTCTGCCTTCCCTGGTCCTCCTGTTCATCCCACTCCTCGCACTTGTGCTCCTGCTGCTGGTGTTCCTCCTCGCCCTCCTTCCTCCTCCTCCTCCTCGTTATCCCCCTCTTCCTCCAAGTCCTCCGCCTCCTCCTCCTCTTCCGTACCCTCATCCTCCTGCTCGTCCGCCATTTCTTCGTCTCCCTCCTCAGACGTGCAAAGCTCCCCTTTTCAGGATTGCGCATGACACGATGGTGTCAGTTGGGGGGTCCAGGTCCGCTATGACGCCCGCCCGCGAATGAATTAGGAAAACAGCTCCACGGGCAGGGGTGGGTGGGAGGGGTAGGATGACAGATGTGGCGCGAGCGAACCTAGCTTGCCTTCCACCCCTCCCCTCCCCCCATCCCTCTCCCCTTCCCTTTGCCACCTCCTCCTCCTCCTCCTCCTCCTCCTCCTCCTCCTCCTCCTCCTCCTCCTCCTCCTTCCTCCCCCCTGCTGTCCTCCCCGCTCCTCATGCCGCTTCCCTCTCTCTCTGCTGCGCTCGTGCTTCGCCGGCCGCTTCAGGAAGAGCGCGTGGAGGAGGAGAAGATGCAGGAGGCGCCCACGATGTCCGCCGCGGAGCGTTCTGCAAGCGCACTGGCGTTTACCCAGGGATGGAGGGCCAGAGCGGCACGGAAGTACAGGGAGGAGGAGGAGGAGGAGGAGGAGGAGGAGGAGGAGGAGGAGGAGGACGACACACAGAAAAGGGAGCAGCGGGAAGGGTTGGCCAGATTAGACGCACGGGGAGACAAGAGGGGGCGGCAGCGGGCGGGAGGGGATTGGAGGACGTGGCGAGGGAGGAGGGGAGGGAGGGGAGGCAGGGTGGGAAGGAGGGGAAGGAGGGGAAGGAGGGGAAGGAGGAGGGGGAGGAGGAGGAGGGGGAGGAGGGGGAGAACGTGGCGAGGGAGGAGGGGAAGGAGGGGAGGCAGGGTGGGCGGCAGGGCGCAGGAGGAGGGGGAGGAAGGAAGGGAAGGTGGAGGAGAGAATGATAAGAGCAGTCAGTAGCAGCAGCGATGCACTCCTGCGAGCCACTGCCGCCCCCCGCTTCCGCTCGAAACGCTTATGTGGTTCAGCGTTGAGCCCAAGTGTGAACAGCCAATCGGGCTCAGTGTTCCCCCGGCCGGTCTTGGAACCACTGGGCGAACATTGAGGGTTGAGCAAGTTGTCCATCATGCTGGAGTCTCTCGGCTCCTCTCGTGCGTCTCCGTGGCCTTCCGAGGTCATCATGGGGATCCCTGTTGCTGTCTTGGCGCCTGAGGGGGCCCGTCTTTGGGGGGGCGTCTTCGTGCCTCTGGGGGGGGGCACCCTGGGCCGTCCCGAGGGCATCCCACGCTGCGCTCGTGACGTCTTGAAGTCGTGGGCCTGCTGTGGGGGCCGGTCGGCCCATCTTGGCCGCCTCTTGGGCCATCTCGAGACGTCATTGAGGCAGTCTTGGGCTGCCCTGCAGGCCTCTCGGGACCCTCCAGGGCCCTCTTGGACCCCCTCCTCCGCTCCTGGGACCATCTTGGGCCGAAACACCTGGGAGGCACTGTCAAACGTCCTGCTTGGGCATCGCTCGGGGCGTACTTAAGGCCTCTTGCGCCCCTCTTGCAGGCTGTTTGGGTGCCGTGTAGGCATCTTTGGCTGTCTTGCAGCCTTCTTGGACTGTCTTCAGTCTTGAGCCGTTCTTCTGACCTTCTTGCAGCCATATTGAGCCATCAGGGCAGTGGGCTCCGCATTGGGCGATAGGAGGCGAAGGGCTTGGGGCGAGGCTTGGAGAGCCCAAGCCAAGGAGTTGGATGAGAATTCTTGACGCTTCGCGTATCCCCACCAGCCCATCCAGAAACGATGTCCAGGCAAGTTGAAGAGATCAGGGAAGTGGGGGAGCAACGAGAGGGACAGCCGATCCATGCAAAGGATGAGGCGGAAGAGGAGGCCAGATGGATAGATGAGGGGGTGGCGAGGAACCGAGCGAAGGAGGGATGAGGAGAATGATGACGCTGGGTGGATGGTTGTATGCCGCTCGGATGCCTCTTGGAAGCCTTTTGGAAGCCTCTTCGGGCGTCTTGGGGGTCTCTTGGCGGTCAATGGGGGCTCTTGGGCGTCTTGGGTGCTTCGGGGGGGCCTCTTGAGGCCGCTTGGGATCCTCTTGGGGGGGCTCTTGGGGGCCTGTTGGAGGCCTCTTGGGGCCTCTTGGGGGTCTCTTGGAGCTTCATGGCGGCCTCTTGGAGCCTCTTGGAGGCCTCTTGGAACCATCCTGGGGGCCTCTTGGGGGCTTCTTGGGGCCTCATGGCGGCCTCTTGGGGCCTCTTGGAGGCCTCTTGGAAGCCTCTTGGGGCCTCCTGGGCGCCCTTTGGGGCCATCTTGGAAGCGATCGATCAAAGAAGGGGGGTTCCCTAATTAACCCTGCCCCTCGGGAGCTCCCAAAATAGCCGCCTGGACCCCTCTTGGGGCGCTCTTGGAGCGCTCTTGGGCGCTCTTGGGGCCGTCTTGGGGCCCTCTTGGGCCCCTCTTGGGGCCTCCTTGGCCCCTCTTGGAGCCATGTTGAGGCCTCAGATGGCCATCGGAAGCGAAAAGGCGAGAAGCCGAAAATCATTGGGTTTTCCTTAAGTTTTTGAAGGATTTTGGCTTCTTGGGGGGCCTCCTTGGGGAGATAATAGGCCTCTTGGAGCTGTCTTGGAGCGTTCTGAGAGCGTCTTGGAGCATCTTCGGAGCCATCTTGCGGCATCTTAGGCTATCTTGAGCCATCTTGGAAGCCATCTTGGACAATCCGAGGCGCTCATGGAGCCATCCTGGGCCATCTTGGACACTCTGACCGCTCGCGACCGGGCCCGTCCAGGTCCAGGGGAGGGGGTTAGGGGGAGGGGTAAACCCCTCCCCGAAGGGGAAGAAGGGAAGATGGAAGAGGAAACTCCCTAAACCACCTACGCCCAGAGGGCTGGTGGGATTAAGTCTAGCACGTCTGGCACGCCAACACCCAACTATAGGGACCAGCGAATCATGGGGATCCCTGTTGCTGTCTTGGCGCCTCGGGGGCCGTCTTTTGGGGGGCCAGTCTCCAAATCTGCTCCGAAAGCGAAGGATGCTGGGACAGAGAACAGGCAAACCGCTTGAGACATCCCCACGAAACGGCCGCGAGCAGGACCGTGCAGGCCGCGCCGTTGCAACATCGCTGGGAACCGAATGCCGAGCAGCGTGTTCACATGAGATTGCCAAAGTGTGGCTGCTCTTTAGCGTCATCTAGGCGGCCTCGGAGCCAGGGGATTGACCCACGACGGAAAATCATGCAGGACCGTGCCCTACGTAACCCCAGCTGCCGGCGTCCCCGCGCCACGGTTGGGCGTCTGGGACAAGAGACGCCACCAGGCTGGCCCGATATGGAATCCCACCAGCCCTCTGGGCGTAGGTGGTTTAGGGAGTTTCCTCTTCCATCTTCCCTTCTTCCCCTTAGGGGAGGGGTTTACCCCTCCCCCTAACCCCCTCCCCTGGATCTGGACGGGCCCAGTCGCGAGCGGTCAGAGTGTCCAAGATGGCCCAGGATGGCTCCATGAGCGCCTCGGATAGTCCAAGATGACTTCCAAGATGGCTCAAGATAGCCTCAGATGCCGCAAGATGGCTCCGAAGATGCTCCAAGACGCTATCAGAACGCTCCAAGACAGCTCCAAGAGGCCAATTATCTCCCCAAGGAGGCCCCCCAAGAAGCCACAATCCTTCAAACACCTAAGGAAAACAAATGATTTTCGGCTTCTCGCCTTTTCGCTTCCGATGGCCATCTGAGGCCTCAACATGGCTCCAAGAGGGGCCAAGGAGGCCCCAAGAGGGCCCCAAGACGGCCCCAAGAGCGCCCAAGAGCGCCCCAAGAGGGGTCCAGGCGGCTATTCTGGGAGCTCCCTAGGGGCAGGGTTAATTAGGGAACCCCCTTTCTTTGATCGATCGCTTCCAAGATGGCCCCAAAGGGCGCCCAGGAGGCCCCCAAGAGGCTTCTAAGAGGCCTCCAAGAGGCCCCAAGAGGACGCCATGAGGCCCCAAGAAGCCCCCAAGAGGCTCCAAGAGGCTCCCAGGATGGTTCCAAGAGGCCTCCAAGAGGCTCCAAGAGGCCGCCATGAAGCTCCAAGAGACCCCCAAGAGGCCCCAAGAGGCCTCCAACAGGCCCCCAAGGGCCCCCCAAGAGGATCCCAAGCGGCCTCAAGAGGCCCCCCCGAAGCACCCAAGACGCCCAAGAGCCCCCATTGACCGCCACGAGACCCCAAGACGGCCGAAGAGGCTTCCAAAAGGCTTCCAAGAGGCATCCGAGCGGCATTCAACCATCCACACAGCGTCATCATTCTCCTCATCCCTCCTGCGCTCGGTTCCTCGCCACCCCCTCATCTATCCATCTGGCCTCCTCTTCCGCCTCATCCTTTGCACGGATCGGCTGTCCCTCTCGTTGCTCCCCCACTTCCCAGATCTCTTCAACTTGCCTGGACATCGTTTCTGGATGGGCTGGTGGGGATGCGCGAAGCGTCAAGAATTGTGAGGAATCCTCAGGCGGGAGCCGTTGTTATTGTAATCCGGGGGCCAAGGGCCTAGTTTGAGCATCAAGACTTCCTCTGTCCAAAAACAGGGTGCGAACGTCGAGGGGCACACTTTTATTCAGAAAAAATCAGTATGCACCGGTGGGGGATCAACAACAACTATTTTCCAGAAGTGAGAATTCAACAACAACCACAACGACAACGACAACAACAACAACAACAACAACATCAACAACAACAACAACAACAACAACAACAACAACGACAACGACACCGACAACGACAACGACAACGACAACGACAACAACAACAACAACAACAACAACAACAACAACAACAACAAGGACAGGGACCTTCCCTGGGCCCCGGCGCTCGGGCTCCTCCAGCGCTCCCTTCTTTGGGGGGCAGGGGCCCTTCCCAAGCCCTGGGGCGTTCGGGGACCCCCCCCCGGAACAACACAACACAACAACGGTCCGGGTTTAATTTAAAAACAAAAAATCCACCTCTCGTCAGAGGTGGACCCATCCTTCATGCCATGTTGCAATGTCTGCACCAGCGAAGCTCTGGAATCCTATGGGGATCCCATGGGGATCCTATGGGAATCCTACAAATCCTAAAGGAATCCTATAGGATTCCAAGGAATCCTATGGGAATCCTATGGGATTCCTATGGGCATCCTACGAATCCTATGGGATTCCCATGGGAATCCTGCGAATCCTATGGGAATCCAATGGGAATCCTACGAATCCGATAAGAAGCGTATACGAATCCGATGGGGATCCTCCATAGGTCCTATATGGTTCCTGTAGGAACCCGATGGGAATCCTAAGAATCCTATGGGAATCCGACGAATCCGATGGGAATCCTATGGGAATGTCATAAATCCAATGGGATTCCTAAGGGAATCCTACGAGTCCTATGGAATTCCGATGGGAATCATGTGAGTCCTATGGGATTCCTATGGGAATCCTACGAGTCCGATGGGATTCCTATAGGAATCCTACAGGAAGCCTCTAGGATTCCTATCGGAATCCTACGAATCCTCAGAAGCCTCTAGGAATACTACAGGCATCCTATAGGAAGCCTCTGGGAGTCCTGTAGAAATCCTAAGAAGCCTTTAGGATTCCCAATATCCTAGAGAATTCCTATAGGAATCCGATGGGAATCCTGTAGGATGCCTGTAGGAATCCTATGGGGGGTCTTACGAATAGCATAGGAGCCCGGTGGGAATCCAAAAAAACCTTTGGGAATCCTATAGGAAGCCTCTAGGAATCCTATAGCAACCCTGTAAGGCTCCTATGAATTCTATACGAAGCCTATAGTAACCCTTTTTCAGGGATCCTATGAATCCTATACGAATCCCATAAGCATGCGATGGGAGTCCTATGAATCCTATAGGACGCTTATAGGAATCGAATGAATCCTGTACGAGCCCCATAAGAAACCGATGGGAACCCTATACGTATCCTATAAACCTGTCGGAATCTTATGACTCCTATGTGAATCCTGTAGGATTCCTATGGGAAGACTCAAGGAACCCGATGAATCCTGCACGTATCCCAAAACATCCTATAGGCATCCCAAGAATCCTAAAGGAATCCCATTGGAATCCGATAAATCCTATACGAATCCTTAGGATTCCTATAAACATCCGACGAATCCGAGATGCATCCTGTAGGAATCCTATAGGAACGCTACAGGGATCGTGCGAATCCTGTACGAAACCTATGGGGATCCTGTTGGAAACATATGAATCCTAAGCGAATCCTATGGGAATCCCATAGGAATCCTGTGACTCCTCTATGAATCCTATAGGGATCCTATAGGTCCTATATGGATACTGTAGGAATCTTATAGGAACCCTATAAGGATCCGATGGGATCCTATACGAACCCTATAGGACTCCTATAGGAATTCTATGAACCCTGTACGAATCCGACAGGAGTCCCATAGGAGTCCGATGGATCCTGGACGAATCCTATAGGCATCCTATAGGAATCCTATGAATCCTATGCGAATCCTATACGGCTGGTGGGTTGTGAGAAAGTCTCAGGCGGGAGCCCTCGGCGTTGTTGTTGTTGTTGTTGTTGTTGTTGTTGGGGGGCGGGGCAGCCCGGGGCACGACGCCCGTCCCTATTCAACAACAGCAACAACAACAACTACAACTACACTAGCACTAACACTAACACTAGCACTAGCACTAGCACTAGCACTAACACTACAACAACTACGTGCAAGGAGGTGTCATTCGGCGGCGACCTTGCTGAATTGCCACGGTCCCGCAGCCGCAGGGTGGAGGCAGAAGGCGGGTTTCACGCACCACTGTGGATGGCCCATGCCGTACACGTGCAAAGGCGCCATCGCGTGAACAACAGAAACGCAACCCTGGGGGCGAGCTGGCCGATGCGCCACGGCCCCGCAGCCGCGGATTGGAGGCCCACTACAGCCGGAAAACTTCTCTTGTCGTTCGCGTTGGTCCTGGCTGAGCCTGGGTGTCCTGTCTAGAATGTACCAGCAAACGAACGTGGAGTAGTGTTCCCAAGATGATCGACGTCGCGCATGATCTTGTCGAACTGCTTGTTCATATATTTCGCCGTGCTCGTCATCCGGATGTGCGCGTGTTCGACTGCACCCTGACTCCTCAAGGTGTGTGTCCATAAGCATTGTCGACTTCTCCAAAGTCTGGCGGGATGCTCCGCGCTGCTCGATGGCGACGCGTCCTGATGGACAGGCCGCAAATGGTCAGCGAAACGCGATCCAAAGGCATCCAAAGTAATATGCTGTCCTGCTGCCGTTGCGTATTTCCTCCGGTGAGGCTGGGCAAGGGGTGCTTGAAATTGGCCCGTGGGTGCTGCTCGGGACGATTCACCTGAAGTGTGGTCGTCGTCCACCCCGTCCAACTCATGTAGTGGACTGTGGATATGGTGGTGCCGTGCGCGAGGCTACGCATATTGGTGAGAGGCGTCGCGAGCGTGATTCGCTTCCACCATCTGCTGACATCGGTAGGAGATTGAAAGGTAGGGGGCGAAGAAAAGAGAGTACGATACGCGCATGCCTTGTATGGGGCGTGAATAAAGGGAAAGCCAATACAATCATGCACAAACACGGGCAGCTTGAGCGACGCGATCAAGCGAGGGGAGAAATTAAAATCGAGGGCGGAAAAGAGGCGACGGAGTTTAGAGTTCCCAAGACCGAAGAATTCAACTCGCCCTGGGCAATCTCCCGCGCGGGGCACGGCCCACCGAGATCAGAGCCCAGCTGGGGATTTGGGAAGTTGGTATCAATCAAAAAGAGGAATTGGGGGACCGTGTGGAAAACAAAAAAAGCTGTCCTCGATGGTGCTACCTCTTTCACCGAATAGCTCATGAAACCCATGTCCAACTCGCTGGGACGCGGGGGCTCATTGGTTACCGCTTCGATGGCGCTCGCGATTCCCGCGGTGTTGCTTGTCGTCACCATGCTGAACTTGGAGTTGAGCCTCCACTGTTAGAGCTCGGGTAGCTCAGGAGTACTATATGGGAAAATGGTACTAAGGCAGTCTTCACCCTGTTATCGCCCAGAAGTGCCTACCAATGTTCTTAATAGCGCTGGCTCGCGCCTATTCGCGCCTATCAGCGTTTATAGCGCCAATTTGCGACCACGAGTGAGCGGCAGTTACCATCAATAGCCAGGTGAGGCAGCAACTCATGCTTAAAATGACTCTCACGCATACACACATACACACACGTAGCCGTTCCAGCTCGCCGCTGGCCACTCTTCCGTTGGAAGCGAGGCGCTGCGTGGCTCCAGCAGCACGCCCCGCGGCGTCACGGCGATCCACTCCTCCTGCCCCGCGCCCAGACCAGAGAAGCGGAATTGCATCGTCGGCGGAGCGAAGCTATGAAAATTGACGGTCAGCGGCCCGCAAGTTCTCCCCTGCTCGACGGAGCATGTGCGTGGAAGGACACATGCACACCGATCCACACATAAACTGACGCGAAATGAGCACATACATCGATGCTGGCCAAGCCTATCCTGGGCCCGAGATCGGTGCGAGGGCTAAACCGCCAGCTCGCGACTCATGCCTAGACTGGCCACAATCGGTGCGGGGAAAAGCTGATGCTCCCCGATCGTATCCACCTCTGCCTGGGAAGGGAAGGTGGACGAGATGGGCACATGCATCAATACGGGTGTTTGTGCATGCTGCTGTGCTCCCAACAATGGGTTTTCGCCACGACCACCAGCGTCTCCAACGCAATGCCGCTCCAGACGCCCCTCATGAAACGGACGGACCGCAACACCGTCCCGGCCTGCTCCGCGAAACCTCGAGCCAAAACGCCTGCGGACAGCATCCGCCGTGGACGCAGCAGGCGCGAGCCCGAGCGACCTCGGGAGGAAGCGAAGATGGGAACGTAACGAGGACCAGGAGGATGAAGACGTCCTCCTCCTCCTGTCTCCCTCCCTCCACGTCAGAATCGCTCACAAGACCTGTCGTGGAACGCGTGCCGACCAACCGGGGCGACGAAGGTGCCCCAGGAGGCTGAAACGCCCAATAACGTTCAACACCTCGATCCTCGATCCTCCTCCTTCTCCCCATCGCCCGCCCGTGCGGGGGAGAAGGCGGGAGAGGGAGAGGAGGGACGTGGAGTAGGAAGTAGGATGACGAGGACGATGAGAAGGAGAAGGAAGAAGCGGAGGAGGAGGGAGGGAGTGAGACGACGAGTGCGATAGCGATCGCTCGCAAGTGCGCCTGGCGATCACGCCGCTCTCGCTGGAGATCAGCAACCGCCTCTTCGCGGCGACGCCGCCTCAGGGCGTTCGAAACGGAGAGGGAGACGCAGGGAGGAGAGAGGGAAGAGGGCGGAAGAGCAGGGGGAGAGGTGAGCGGAGGGAGGGAAGGTGAGGTTCCGCCAGAGAGCAGTGCGCAGAGGGGGCGGGAATTGACTCGGGGTTCAGCAGGAAATCAGCCGAGGGGGGGTCCTCCTCACCCTCCTCCTCGCCAACCTTGACACACCCCTTCCCCTCAACATCCTTCCGCACTTCCGTCTCGTCCCCGTCGCGAGCGCATGCAAGGACGGAGGCGTCCTATCAAAAGCCTTACCAGGAAAACCTCGCCTGCCGCCCGAGGAGTTTCCCGAAGCGGACCTCCTCCTCCTCCCTCCCCTCTCCTCCTCCCCTCCCTCTCGTCCACCTCCTCCTCCTCCTCCTTCTCCTTCTCCCCCTCATCTTCTTATGAACAAATGGATGTACGTCTACTAGTATGATTATTATGTGTCTTGCACGACTTTGATGTGTGTTCTGCGTGTTTTCAATATGTTTATCATTAGAACGTGTGTGAGTACGGTTATTGATATTCCTCATATTCCTCTTTTTCATCCTCAGCCTCCTCCTTCTTCTCCCCGTCCCCATCCTCCTCCTCTTCCTCCTCCTCCTCTTCCTCCTCCTCCATCTCCTCCTCCTCCTCCTCCTCCTCCTCCTCCTCCACCCCCCAACCGTCCCCCCCTCTCCATCACTACCCCCCTTCCTGGCCGTAGTCCCCTCCATCCCCCCTTCGTCGCCTTGCGTTTCCCTCCTCATCCCCGTCCCTCCACCTCCTCCTCCTCCTCCTCTTCCTCCTCCTCCCATCGCCTGCATCTACTTTCCATCTCCCCTGCTTCCCTCGTCGTCCCTCATCCCCCCACCACCCCTCCCTCCTCTGCCGAGACTCCGTCGGGCCTGCTCTCGGAAGTGTAGCGCGTGGTCGACTCGCCCAAGCGCTGCCCTTGTCGCTGCGGATTTTCGGAGCCCCTTGCTCCCGAACAGATAATCGGCTTGCCCTTGGGCTTGGGTCGTACGCAGAATCAACCGCAGAACCACTACCCGCTTGCTCTCGCTCCTCCTGTCCACCGTCCACTCCTGCGGATGTCCAGATTTGCAGCATGACCAAGGATCCGCTTTGCAAGCATGGCAGAACCTGGGCAAGAGAAGAAACAGAGCGAGAGAGAGAGAGAGAGAAGGAAAGAGAAGGAGAGAGAGAGAGAGAGAGAGAGACAGGGAGTGCCGCGCCCCTGCTCAGCGGCGTGCTGCGCCCAAAAGACTGTTCGGTGCTCGGGTCCATTCTTCTGCGCAGCAGGTCCAGCGAGTTCAAGGCTTTATTACGGGGTCTTCGCGGACAAAGATCCTGAGAAAGCTGCGCACGATGCCGAGCGAAACACGTGGAACACCAAACAATCGGAAGCCGCGAACCTGGGCCACCTCCCCAAAGCCAATCTGGCGGGTGGGCCTGGCGACAAGTCCTGGCAAGCCGTGATGCCGGTAGGGAGGCGAGTCCAGCTTCGACCCCCGTGCCCATGAAGGCCAAGATGCAGGAGACGACGGTTTTCTGGAGACCGCGGCCGCTTGGTCACGACACTGGCGGTGTCTCTGACACGGGGGCGGCCAGCGACTTCGAACATCACGAAACTGGACAGAGCCAGGATCTGGAGCCGTCGTTGCTCAAGAACCCTGCTGAATTCACGGTGCCCGGGAGGAGGGTAAAGGCAAACGGCAGAACAACAACAAACTCTGGCGGAAGATCCATACGATTGCCCGACGCCTCAAGCACCGGCATACCCGGCAAGCTGTCAGTCTTTCGTCTGCCTCCGGCACACGCCGCCGTCGGCACCTGTCTTCTGCTTTCTCCCAGGCTAAGCGTTGGCCTCGACTCCCGAACTGGCGGCCCGAGATCCCGAACTTCCCTCCCCTCGAAATGCACGCTCGACACGTGTGGGTGTGTGAATATTCGGGGCCACTTCAGTCTCGCAAGGTATCTTGGACGGCAGGACACCCTGGAGCTCCTCGGGAAGGCAATCGGCAATCACTGCGAGGCGCAACGCGTGCCCTTCGACTGTATGAATCGCTGGGGCAGCAGGTCCCTGTGGAGGCTAGAGGCTGGGGCAAAATGATAACGTATTACCAGTAGCACGTGTGATGCGAATTGCTTCTCAGACAGCTGAACAGAAGCGGTGTTCAAACAGCTGCTGAACTGAAAACCACAAAATGCATCCGGCCTCCGGGACGAAACAAGCGTGGCTGCCAAAATGCGCCGTGGGGACATCACTATGCCATTACCCAGGCATAAAACTGGTTCGGGCATTATTGCAAGATCCTTGAGACATTCGTCCGACCAACATGTTTAAAGCATGGCAGGCACATTGGTAATACACAATGATGGCATTAGTAAACTATTAATAACGCAATGTGGAGCGATCGTAACACATATGTGCCTTTGAGAGGAATCGTTGGGCGTTGCTGGAGCGTTATGGTATCATGACTGCGGCGCTGTTAAGGCATGACCCAATACGTCAGTAAGAGACTACGAAGAAGCTACTAAGACTGCAATAGCTCATTACGCAGACATGGTTGTGGACTGGAAAGAGTACATTTACGCACTTATGTGTTGAAACAGGCTTGCACTCGTAAGATGGCATGATGGAGACATTCTGCGGACACCCTGGCGACATGAAGTATTCGTACGGCACCTAGCAGACGTCATTCAAACAATGGTCGGACAACATTCACACTATATGAATACATCCGTGAGTAGAACTTGAAGGCAAAATGACATCAGCGTAAAACGTTAGAAGACATGTACAACCCTCAATTGCAAACAACTATCCATACATGACAAAGGATTATACGAGGCCACGAAAGCATGAAACCTTACAGCCCTTAGACACAGGCCCGGCGGCACTTGGACTACCGACCGCTAGAAAGCCAAGACCAGAGTACCGCAAATACCCTGAGGCCCTGAGACTCACTCTAGTGCCCCCCAGAACTCGAGGACCCTGAAACACTAGGGACACGGGGGGCCGAGGCCCTGCGACTGCAAAAAACGAGAAGCAATGAGCACCTGTAGTCACTGGGTGACTGTTCGCAAAGGGAGGGGGAATGACCCCGCAGTGAAGTATGCGGAAGAGCAGGCTGCAAGAAGGATGGGAGCCGTGTCTCCTGCCTACGGACCTGAACCAAAGTATACGGACTCCCCCCCACGTTTCCCCCCTCCTCCTCCCCACCCCTCGTCTCCCCACCTCCTTCGCCCCTGATGGCAACCGCGACGACGCCGTTTCCTGTGACCGCGTCGAAAGCGACGAGGACGGAAGCGATGACCCGGCGCGCCCACGTGGGGGCGGGGCGCGCGCGGCACGGCGTCGGCGCCTTCGACGTGCACGAAACCGAAGTCCACGTGGACGACCTGCTCTGGCAAAGGGGGAGGCAAGGAGGGCCCGATGGAAGGCCCAAGTAGGGGAAGGTCTTAAGGGTAGCCCCATGGGGACGTGGGGGAGACCCCAGAAGTTCCAGGAAGCCTGGGCAGGCCGCAAGCAGCCCCAAAAACTCCCGGGAGACCCCCGGCGGCCCAAAAAGGCTCCGTGCAGCCCCAGAACCCCGAGGACGCCACAGGGGGGGCCCCAAAACTCAGGCACTTGTAATTACTAAGCGCTTTCCCCTCTTCGTCCTCGACATCCGTGCTTCCTCGTCCCTCTCTCCTCTCCATCCCTCTCTTCCTCCTCCTCCTCCTCCTCCTCCTCCTCCTCCTCCTGCTCCTTCTCCTCCTCCTCCTCCTCCTCCTCCTCCTCCTCCTCCTCCTCCTCCCCCTGCTCCTGCTCCTCCTCCTACTCCCCCTCCTCGACGACGTCCTCCCTGCGGAGGGGAAACAGAGCCGGCGGCCGAAATCCGCTCACAAGGCGTCCCTGGACCACTCCCAGGGTCCATCCTGACAAGATTTTCTTCGAGTTGCGTCCCACCGTGGCGACGAAAATCTCCAGAGAAATTTCGACCCGACGATGTGAACGACCTCGAGGACTTCGAACTTCGAGCCTAGACCACCCACTCTCCTCCGCCTCCTGGTGCTAGCGCCCAGCGGGGGCCTCTGGCTCGGCCCAGGACGGCTTGGCGGCGTGATGGGCGACGTCGGGCCGGTCCAGGTGGCAAGGCACTGGCGCGGCGTGGCGAATGAGCCGTGCAGTTCCCCCCTCCCTCCTCCTCATCCTCCTCCTCCGCCTCCTATTCGTCCTTATGTCACCCTTCCTCCTCGTCCTCCGCCTCCTCCTCATCCCCTTCTACCTCATCCACCTTCAGAGCTCCTTCCTCCTCTCCTCACCCTCCACCTCCCCCGCCTCATCCCTCACCGCCGAACCGTGGCCTCCTCTTCTACTTGCCTGCGGTGGCCCCCATCATCGCTGCGACTGGACGCAGCTGGGAAAACGAGTCTGGAGACTGGTCCTAAAGCCCGATCGGACGTTTGGTTCGGGGGGAAGGGCGACACCGTGGGGTACTGACGGAGGGCTTTCTCGCCCTGCTCTGAGCCTCACAATGACCCTCGCAGATCGATCCGATTTGGCAGTCTGTGCGCAAAGACGTCGTATTGTTCAAGACACCTCTCTAGACGCCGTGATTCTAGCCTGGCGTCGGATGTCAGGATGATTGGAAAGGAGGGGGAGGAGGAGCAGGAGTGGGAGGGAACACGGCGACGGAGTCGACAATGACGACCTCACGAGGGGAATGAGCGCTGCAGTTGGCATGACCCGTGAGCTCCTCTATTTTGCTCCAGGCTCTATCGAGACTCTTCCAAAGCTCTTCCCTTGGGGAACGAACAATGACATGAACATGATTTTCTAGAGGCCCGCGCGGATTGCTCGGATCGGCGCTGGACCCCCCTCCCTGGGGCGCGGAACGCGCCAGGGGCGACGCCGGAGGTACCGCCAGGAGGCTCAAACGCCGATCCGAGAAATCCACGCAAACATCCAAAACATTATGTTTATGTCATTGTCAGTTCCCCGATCAAGTTCTTCTCACGCTCCCTCTCCACCTCGATTCTCTACTTGCTCCCCGATCCTTCTTCTCGGTCCTCGCCCTCCTTTCGAGCGCCTGCCTCCCGCTCGCGATCTTTCCTCCTCCCGCTGGATCCAGATATCTCTGACTCTCTCTTCGTCTCTCTCCCTCTCTTTCTCTCTCTCTCTCTCTCGCTTCTTTTCTCTGTATGCATCGACATATAATGTCAAACTGGTATATGTACATATATATAAAGATGCGAACGCTCTATATATATACACACATGTACACACTCCCCCACACACACACATGTGTATATATATATATATATATGTGTGTTCAGCCCCCTCCCAGCGACCCCCCAGGGCCAATCAGCCTCATCATCGTCCCTATCGCATTTCTCCACACCTCCATACTCATCTTGCTACGGCTGGCACGAACGTTACGAGCGACCTGGGTTTCGGATGATGAGAAAGCGGATGATGCTGGTGATGATGATGCTGATGATGATGAGGGGGACGATGAGGACGAGGGACAGGAGGACAAGAAGGCGGAGGAGGATGACGAGGATGATGCTGATGATGGTAATGATGAGGAGGATGAGGAGGATAAGGATGAGAATGAGGAGGGGGACCCCAGTCCCTCTCTACCCTCAGGAGGGGGATGCAGAGGAGGAGGAGGGGGAGGAGGAGGATGAGGATGAGGAGGTTCTAGATAAGACGAGTGCGATCCTGACGACGACGGACTTGGGGGGGGGATCCTCCTCATCATCCTTCTCTGCCCCGTCCTGCTCATATTCCTCCTCCTGCTCCCTCTCATGATCCTATTCCTTCTGCTCCCTGTGCTGATATTCGCCCTACTCCCAGCACTCCGTCTCAATTGATGATTGACCTCGGGGAGGAATATCGAGGAGAAAGGAGCGATGGACGTAAGGAGCGACGACGATGATACTGATGCTGCTGATGACGATGGCGGCGATGAGGATGCTGCTGATGATGATCAGTATCAAGATCACGCTAATGCTGATGCTGATTATGATCATAATGCTAATGCTGGTGATGATGGTTTATGATGATGACCATCGTGATGAAGATTTCGACGATGATTTCGATACTGACAATGATGATGATCATGATGCTAATGATGGTCATGATGATCATGCTGACCATTGTCACGGTGGTGGTGATCATGATGATGCTGATGATGATGATGATGATGATTGCGACGACGATGGTACTGATGACGATGCTGATGATGATGCTCATCATGATGATCATGGTGATGATGATGATGATGATGATGATGATGATGATGATGATGATGATAATGATGAGGATGACGAACACGACGACTCATTGACGTCATCATGATTCCATCGATGATGTAGCTAACGTGTGCTCAAACCAGTGCTAAGCAAGTGGTGTCCTGAGTGCTTGCTTCTTTAAAAAAAAAAAAAAAAAAAAAAAAACATGATCAACCGTTGCGACAAGTTGGAATGCAAATTCGGCAAAAAGGATACACGCGCCAATGCGGAACCTAAAAGCGCTGCTGCATCTGTGCACGCATGGAGCTAACTACACAACCGACGAATGGAAAACAACGCGGCGCCGTGGTCACAAAGATCATGAACCTCCAAAAGGATGGGCGCAACGACGCCGTGAAGCGGGCCCTGGACATGGTCACAGAGCCTGTGCGTCAGTCGTTTAAGGCCGTTACTCTTTTCAAACAAAAAAGAAGCACAAACGTACATTATTATCAACAATAGCAATCAAGATTCTTATTTTCGCACTAACACTTAAACACATACGTAAAACAATGAAGCCACAGGACCTTCTGACCCAGCGTAACCACAACACGCAGCAGGAGGAGCACGCGCCAAAGGACGAGGTGCCAGCCATGGAGGAGGAATCATCAAAACCAAACCCGTCGCAGGAGACGCGCAGCAGGCTCCCGAGGGATGGTCCTGGACCAGGGCGGCTTCGGACCACGCTCCGACTACGCCCTGGCCACTACCTTAAACCACCTCTTGCGCATCATGGTCAACATCATTGTGGAATCCCAGAATGTGTTGGATTCCTGGATGGCGAACCGGCTCCCGCCTCAGGTTTCCAGGGTTGTGACACAAAAGTCATGCGGCAACCAACCAATTGTTCAAACGCTATCAAAACGTTCGTGATTGGTTTTGTAGTGGTTGTTTTTGGTATGGAGAAGAAGTTGGTTGGTTGTCGCGTGCGTTTTCGTGTCGCCCCCGTAGAAGAAGGCGCTCTGGCTAGACAACATGGCCGATCATCTGGGGAGATTCTGCGTCAAGAAATTCAAAACCATCCCCTACTTTGAGTCCCTCTCGAAGGAGGTCACGAAGGACTTTGGGGACGCGTGAAAGATGGTGCACAAGTGCATCGGCTTGTACATCATTATAGTCGTTGCGACAATAACACCAACCTCGGATAAAACTCACGCCATGGCAGGCGTGCGTTGGTGCTTTGGCAACACGCTGGCGTGCCTCTATTCGCGGGGGCTCCGAGAAAGAAGCTTACGAGTTCGTCACGGCACCCCTGTTCGTCCCCGCGTACTCCACAGACGTGACGGTGAGCCAGCTCTTCAAGCCAGCCGAGTGCGAGAACCGCCACGACGAGAATTCTTTTTCCCCACATCCAAAGTGGGGTTCTTGTTTTCTCTGGACACCCCGCGCAGGAACAGGAACACACACACACACACCCACTCACACTCACTCGCACTCTCTCATCATCAACCTCATCAGCATCATCGATGATGCTCTCTCACATGCTTAGTCACTCACATACTCATCATCATCATCACTCGCACTCTCTCACACGCTCACGATCATCATCATCATCATCATCATCGGCATCGGCATCATCCTCATTCAAACATCATCATCGCCACCACCACTCACAATCAATCATCATCCTCTTCACCACTCATCTTCACCACCACTCATCATCCTCATCCTCATCATCGTTGAGTAAATTGTGAGGAAGTCTCAGGCGGGAGCCCCCTCCCTATGGGGCCCGCAGATCATGTTGGTAATCCGAGCGGGTCATCGGAACCCTGTAACTGTCGTCACTTTTGGGCTCCCCAGGCCTGAAAATGGAGGAAGTCTCAGGCGGGAGCCTCGTCTGTGAGTGAATTGGGAGGAAGTCTCAGGCGGGAGCTCCCTCCCTATGGGGCCCGCAGATCATGTTGGTAATCCGAGCGGGTCATCGGAACCCTGTAACTGTCGTCACTTTTGGGCTCCTCAAGCCTGAATTTGGAGGAAGTCTCAGGCGGGAGCCTCGTCTGTGAGTGAATTCTGAGGAAGGCTCAGGCGGGAGCCCCCTCCCTATGGGGCCCGCAGATCATGTTGGTAATCCGAGCGGGTCATCGGAACCTGTAACTGTCGTCACTTTTGGGCTCGTCAAGCCTGAATTTGGAGGAAGTCTCAGGCGGGAGCCTCGTCTCTGAGTGAATTGTGAGGAAGTCTCAGGCGGGAGCCCCCTCCCTATGGGGCCCGCAGATCATGTTGGTAATCCGAGCGGGTCATCGGAACCCTGTAACTGTCGTCACTTTTGGGCTCCTCAAGCCTGAATATGGAGGAAGTCTCAGGCGGGAGCCTCGTCTGTGAGTGAACTGCGAGGAAGTCTCAGGCGGGAGCTCCCTCCTTATGGGGCCCGCAGATCATGTTGGTAATCCGAGCGGGTCATCCAAAACTTGTAACTGTCGTCAATTTTGGGTTCTCGCGCTGCCAGAACGCAGTTCCCAGGCCACATTTTGGACGCAACAAGGGAGATAAGCATGGTGGCAGCCGCGCTGTACAACGCGCTGGACCTTCGCGCCTGCCACGGACGCAGTGACACGCACGACGTGCAGGAGTCGAACTACCAGCGGCCACACCACCACTTCGGGCGCGTGCCCATCGTGTTGCACCTCGGCGATTTCCTGCAGCTGAAGCCCACCGGCAGCATTGGCCTCCTGACGGACGTGAACGAGCGCCTGGACGACGACGAGTCGTACAGGTACGCGGACCCGCCGACGGTGGAGATCCAGCACGCCATCAAGGTCTTCTCTCAGATCCCCTGCGTCTTCGAGCTGAAGGGCACGAAGCGCTTCGAGCCCGGGGACCCGCTGATCACGTTCCTGGGTTGCACGCGCGAGGGCAAGCCCTTCCCACCTGAGGTCTGGTCCGCCTGGGAGAAGACGTTGGCCACGGACAACCAGGGCGTCCTGGACCCTCGGCACCAGCACGAGAACTTTCGGCTCGGCTACGGCATGGGCATATACTGGGAGACGCTGGCGAGGTGGATCAACACGCGCGCTCGTCGCGACGCTCGGCGTCTGGGCGTGCCCCTTGTTTTCCTGCAGGCCGTTGACGAGTGCGGCACGATTCAGGGCGAGCCCGACGCGGGTCGGCGCCTCCTGAACGTCCCGAACATGCACAAGACGGGAGACATCCACGGCGTTTTGCCGGCCCACGTCGGCATGGAGGTGCGGTTCACGGCAGTGCAGGAGGAGCTGAAGAAGAAGTTGGGGCTCGTGCAGGAGCAGCGGGCCACCATCGTGTCCTTCGAGTTCCACCACGAGGACGAGCAGCGCTACGAGGAGTGCTCGGCAGGCCAGCTCTTTCGCCCCCGCTTCCTACCGCAGGGAATCTGGCTGCAGGTGCACGGCTTCAAGGAGTCTCCGATCTACCAGGAGGTCGCCGAGGTGCTGCGACAGGGCGCCGAAGGCGCCGACGACGACGGCCAGGCCGAGGCGCGGGCGCGGAGCTTGCTGATGTTCAGGCCAGCGAAAGGGAGTTCACATGGCAGAGCTCGGGGGCGCACAGCGTGCGCCGCTCGGGGTTCACCCTGACGCACGCGTCCTACCTGACCTCCACGCTGTCGCAGGGCCAGACGCTGCGCAAGGGCGTCACCATCGACTGCGCGAGAGACGAGGACGCTGGCCGCACGGGCATGTCGGACGAGCAGTGGTGGCTGCACCTCTACGTCATGTTCTCCCGCGCCACGTGCATGCGGAACATGCTGATCCTGCGGCCGCCGCCGCGAGAGTTCCTGGAGTGCGGGCCGCCGGCGTCCCTGCGGAAGGCGCTCCTGGAGTTCGACAAGAGAGCGGTTTTGTCCAGGGCGGAGGCGAAGCAGCTCGCGGCAGAGCTGGGCTTCGTGCTGCCTTCCGCCTGAGCGCGGCTGCGCCTCGCTCGAAGCCCGCGGGGTTGTCCCAACGGCTTGGTCTTGCGCGCCAGCGGCTCGCGGGGTTGTCCCGACAGCCTGGCCCGCGGGGTTGTCCCAACGGCTGCGCGACGTGACCAGTAGAGAACGCGCCTGTGCTGGCCGTGGCGGCGACGGCGCCGAGGAACATCGACATGCGCGCTCATGCAACAGGAAGGGGAGGAGGTGGCGGGGCGCGGAACAAACAGGGGGGCGAGGATGGGGACAACGTAAGGAGTGGAAGGGGGGCCCGCGCCAAGGCGAGAGGAAATATACGCAGAAGAGACAGCCAGGACGCCTCACCAACCACGAGGACGACGGTGATGGCTTTTTCCAGATTCGCCCAGAGGATTCTTATGTGGGGTTCTTCCGTCGGAGTAATTGTGCAATTTGCGTCGTTGTTTGACAAGCAAAAAAATGTTTGACAGTGTCGTGCTCGTGGTTGTCGTGGTGGCCGCGGTGGTGGTGGCGATCGTGGTGGTGATGACGGTCGCGGTGGTGGTCGCGGCGGTGGTCGTGGTGGTCGCGTCGGTCATGCTCGCGGTCGTCGTGTCGGTCGTGGCGGTGTTGGCGGGGCGGTGGTCGTGGTAATGCTCGTGGTGGTCGCGTCGGTCGTGGCGTCGGTCACGGTGGCGGTCGTGGCCGCGGTCGCGGCGGCGGTCATGGCGGTGGTCGTGGCGGCGGTCGTGGTAGTGGTAGTCGTCGTCGCGTTCGTTGTCGTGGTCGTCGTCGTGGTCGTCTTCGCGGTCGTTGTCGCGGTCGTCGTCGCCGTCGTCGTCGCCGTCGCCGTCGCAATCGCTGTCGCCGTCGTCGCGCTCGCCGTTGTGGTCGTCGTTCGCGTCCGTGCTCGCCGTCGTCGTGTCTGTCGCCGTCGTCGCGGGCGTCGTCGTCGTCGCGTTTGTCGTCGTGTCCACGGTCGTCGTGGTCGTCGTCGTGGTCGTCGTCGCCGTCGCCGTCGCCATCGCTTTCGCCGTCGTTGCCGTCGCGGTCGTCGCCGTGGTCGTCGTTCGCGTTCGTGCTCGCCGTCGTCGTGTCTGTCGTCGTCGTGGTCGCGGGCGTCGTCGTCGTCGCGTTTGTCGTCGTGTCCACGGTCGTCGCGGTCGTCGCCGTCGTCGTCGCGTACTAAAACAACACGGCCTCCGAGGACACGACCCCGCTGCCGCCCCTGCGCGAGTGGGAAAAGCTGCGGAAGGTGCTCCGCTTCTAAGAGCTAGCCCACGGCCCGCGCGCGCCCGCGCCATCCCGAGAGGGGAAGACGACGCTGCGCAGCTAACGACAAGAACCCAAGGCGGCAGCAAGGAAGAGGCTTAACAAACAAAGACAGCAGCGCGAGGAACACAACGTGGGAGAGGCGCATACATACTGAAAACACACCGAGAACATAAGCGACAGCCACAACTGTTAACACACATACACACACGCACACATACACACACACGCACTACAAACAACATACAGGTTTAGATGTTCCAGGACATAACGTGCATTAAACAACGTAAACCGAGATATGCGCAAGGTGTGCTCACAATGTACACACCGTGCGCACTCCAACATCACTCCGTTTGAACACCTGGTGCACACGGTGTGCACACCGTGCGCACCTCGTGTGCACACGGTGTGCACACCGTGTGCGCACAGTGTACAGGGGAGGGGTGCCAGCAAAAGGGGGGAGTGCGGCGAGAGAGAGAGAGAGAGAGGAAAGGATGATGCATAGGAGGCGGAGGTGGAAGATGAATGGGTGAGGAACGGCTGCGGTATCACGAAAAGGGTGAAGAGGGGGAGGAGGAAGATCAGGAGAAGGAGGAGGGGGAGGAGGAGGAGGAGGAGGAGGAGCGTGGCCACCAAACCCTACTATACAGAGTTGTTTTTGGTTGTTCAGGTCTGGGTTACCACCAAACCATACTATACACAGTGTTGTGTTGTTTTCTAGATTTCTGGAAGCCCGCAAACTTGGCCACGGGTGCTTTCGGGAGGAACATGGCCACTACACCCTACTATACACGTGTTTTGTTTGTTGTGTTTGTTCCCTAGCTAGGCTCTGCCTAGAAAGGTTCTTACTCGGTAAGCTTAAAGGGCCGGGCAGTGGGGCCCGCCCCGGGCGGTTCCCCCGGCATCCGCCCCGCGGTTCCCCCAGTGACGTTCCCTTAGCTTCGCGTTGCTTATCTCATCTTAGCTTAGCTTAGCTTAACTTAGTTGAGCTTAACTTATCCTAGCCTAGCTTAGCTTAGCTTTAGCGTTAGCCTAGCCTAGCTTAGCTTAGCGCAGCATTAGCATAGCATAGCATAGCATAGCATAGCATGTCAGAGCGCAGCATATCATAGCGCAGCATAGCATAGCATAGCATACCATACCCCATCATAGTATCATAGCATAGTAAATCATAGCGCAGCATAGCATAGCATAGCATAACATATTTTCGCTTGGCATCGCACAGCGCAGCATCGCATAGCATAGCATAGCATAGCGCAGCATAGCATAACATAGCATAGCATAGCGCAGCATAGCATAGCATAGCATAGCGCAGCATAGCATAGCATAGCATGTCATAGTATAGCATAGCATAGCGCAGCACAGCATATCGTAGCATAGATGCAGGTGTAGATGTTCATGTAGCTGTCGGTGTAGGTGTAGATGTTGCTTTCCTAGATGCCCCAACTCCTAGGTAGGGTCGCACTGGGATAATTTTATGGTGTTCAGGAGGTCAGCAGACTTGGCCTGGCCTGTATAGCAGAGTTTGGTGGTATCCCAGGCTTGAACAAAATACAAAAAAAACCTTTTTATAGTAGGGTTTGGTGGCCATGCTCCTCCCGCAAGCTCTCCTGGCCAAGTTTGCGGGCTTCCTGATAACCAGAACCCCCACACAAAAAACTGTGTAAGTAGGTTTAGTGGTAGCACAAACCTGAAAAAACAAAACAACCTGTGTATAGTAGGGTTTGGTGGCCATGCTCCTCCCGCAAGCTCTCCTGGCCAAGTTTGCGGCGAGCCTCCTGAAAACCAGAAAAACAAAACAACCTGTGTGTAGTAAGGTTTAGTGGTATCCCAGACCGGAAAAAAAGAAATCCTGTGTAGTGTAGGGTTTGGTGGCCATGCTCCCAAGTTTGCGGGCTTCCAGAAAACCAGAAAAACACAAAAACACCAATGTATGGTCGGGTTTGGTGGTATCCCCGACCGGACCCCCCCCTAACAAAAACCTGTGTATAGTAGGGTTTGGTGGCCATGCTCCTCCTGAAAGCACTCCTGAGCAGGAGGAGGATGAGAACGGACCAGGAGGGACAGGAAGAAAGAGAGAGAGAGAGAGAGACCGAGAGAGAAAGAGAGAGAACGAGAGAAAGGGAGAGAAAGAAAGCAACGATTGTGGTAAGGGGGTCGCTGGGGGGGGGGGGGGGGAGGCTGACCGCATATGTATGTGGAAATATACAAATATGATCATAAACAAATGCGTGTACACATACATACATATATATACATGTATATATGTATGTATGTATGTATACATACATATATATATATATATATACATATATATATATGCGTGTGTGTATGCAAGCCTGGTTCCCAAATGACACCCAAGCGGACCCCAAGACGGCACAAGAGGCACCCGAAGACGCCGAGATTTCGAGCCCTCCGCCACAAGGGGGCTCCCGAGATCGCCAGCAAGCCCCAAAGAAGTCCCCAAGAGGGCCCAAGAGCCCCCCAAATAATCCCCAAGAGGCCCCCTAACGGTCCCCATGAGGCCCCACGAGGCTTCAGGCTGCCTCCGAGACTCGCCGGAGGCTTTCCAAGAGATCCCAACAGGCATCCAAGAGGCCACTGACCAACAATCCAGGCACGATGGCGGGATGGGCCGAATGCCACCATGTGTGTATATACATATGTATGTCATTATATATACATAAGTGTATCGATTCCCCCTTCCTCCAAAACGACGACTTCTATTCCGATCCTGATCTCTCCCTTCCTTCGCCTCGACCCCGTCCCCTTCCCGCAATCCCCTCCTTTGACACCCTCATCCTCTTCGAGGGAGACGCAGCATACGGGGGAAGGGTAGGGCGGGGGGGGAAGGGGAGAGGTTTGTGAGCGTCGCCTGACGGGCTTCGCACGAACGCAGATCCCGAGGAAACCTCTCTGCAAGGTAACAGGAAAAGAAGCGAAAGGAGAACATCCAGATGAGGAGGACCCCTCTTCTCTCAGTCCGTGTCTGTGTAGCCGCCCGTCTGCCCGACTTTCTGTCTGCCTCTCCGTCCCTGTCCCTGTCTCGATCGTCTCCTCCTTCTCTCATCGTTCCTCTTCCTCACTCCCCTCCGCCTACTCCTTCTTTCCACGTCCCGCTTGCTCTTCTCCCTCCTCTCCTCCTCCTCCTCCTCCTCCTCCTCCTCCTCCTCCTCCTCATCCTTTTTTCTCCTCCGGACCCCCTGCTACTTTGCGTACTCTTTCGCCTCCCACGCTTCCACCTCAGCAACCCTTCCGCCTTCTCCCCCTGCTCGTCTTCCTGCGTCTCCACCTGCTTTTCTAAATTCTTTTCATAACATTTCATTGTACCATCTCTCGCTTGCACCCTCCCTCGAAGACAGTCGACGAGACCGTGAGCTATGAGGCGGAGAGCCGCGCGGCCTAAGAACAGGCTCACCACAGGTCTTTGTATCACGCCCTGGAGATGGACTCTCTGCAAGTCTGCGGACCTACAGCGGGCGGAGAACAGGCGGAGGAGGAAGATGATGACAAGGAAAGCGGATGAACAGAAACGTTTCGAATTCCGCTGCGGTCGATAAACAATCCCGTTAACTGACCGTTAGGCTTACCATAGCCGCTACTGCGCCCCTTGCTCGCAAAAGTACGCTCCTGGTTCACTCTGGCGCAATTCGGGACAATTCCCAGGAATGTTCCCTCAACGACGCGCTGCCACGGTTTGACCGACGGCTCGCTAACCCTGAACTGCTGCGCAACCCTGAATGCGGCTCGAACCGCCAGACGGGCACTCCCTCCCGCTAAAACCATACCGCTGAGGTGCACCCGAAGGCCCAACCAGTCATGCAGAGAAGCATTGTGACCGCGGATTTCGCGCTTTCTTCTATCAAGGACCCTCGCACCGAGGGAACATCGTGCATGCACCAAGAAAGGAAAAATCATACACACTCACCGATGTCCGAGAATATGCGGACGCATACGGCGTTGTTGGTGTGGCTGGGGGCGCGCCTACACCTGCCGCCATCGCTGCACCTCCCAGGACAATCACAGTAGTCCCCCCCCCCTCCTCAACCGTATGTGTTCGAGTGACAGCTTCACGATTCTGCGTGACTCTTTTCACGCCGCTCCTAGCTACCACATCCGCCCCCTCTACCCTGCTGTCCGTCCCCAAATAGTTATATCCCTGGGACTTTCCCGGTGTGCCTTATGGCCAGAATGTCATTGGGAATCCAGTCGTGGCGACGAGAAGCCTCCAAGAGGCCCAAAAAGGGCTAACACCGCACAAACACCTCGAAGTTCGATTCTTCGATCCTTTGCCTCCTCCTCCTCCTGCTCCTTCTGCCTGGTTCCTTCTCCTTCCTCTTGCAGCCACATCCTCCCTCCTCCATCCATCCCCTCCCGCTCCGCGGCCGCCGCATCGTCTGCTTCATTCCTCCTCCTCCTCCTCATCATCATCCTGCAATACTCATCATTCTCACCCTCGCTTTCAATTCCTCCACTTCCCGCTGCTCCTCTCTCCCTCCGCTTCCTCCTGCACTCACAATACCAGGCGCCCCCACCCGTCTGTCAACCTCCTCAACCTCCTCCTTCTCATCATCATCCTTATCCGACCCCCTACCTACTTGCCTCTCTGACTCATTCCTCCTCCTCCTCCTTCCTTGCTTCGTCCGAAGGAAGGAGGAGGGGAGGAGGATGAAAGATGAGGATTATGTGAACCACGCGTTCGACTTCACACATCCAGCCAAAGTGCAAACGTGGGCGTAACCTCGAACGTTCTCTTCAAAACCAACACCTCCATGCTTCTCCAGCCGCAGTCTCGCATACCCCATTACCACCACCCGTCGACGTCGTTGCCACCTCCTCCTCCTCCTCCTCCTCCTCCTCCTCTTCCTCTGTCACGACGCTGCCCACAAACACGCGGTATGGGACCCATCTTGCCATCGCTCGGACGTCCATTCCCCGTACAATATCGGGTGTCGTGCGATTGCTCCTCGATGGTATTCGCTGATGAAGGAAATTCACACGTCCGAGCGATAACAGTCCATATCCTCAACATCTGTTTGCTACTGGAAGACCGCACCCAGCATCGGGGATAGCATCTGTAATCAACGTCGCGCTTCGTTAGCCCTGCCATGATTGCACCCCCAACGATATCAGTCCAAATCAGGCGAAAAATCAACCAGTACAGCCAGAGAAACTGCGTGCGATTCAGCACTTTGAATGTCGCTACTGCTGCTGTTCAAAGGCGACGAGGAAATACTGAGAGAGAAGTCATCGCGGCCTCTGGCTCGAACAGCTCGCCTCCATTGCCCGCCCTCCCTCTTTGCTGACGTCGCTCGCAGTCACGTTCAAGTGCATCAGGCCTAAACTACTGCCAACCATCGCACACGAGAGACAACGACAATAAGGCAAAACGGGCAAATATCGTCTGATCATCTGTCATGGCTCCCCAATGCTCTTTTCCCTTTTCCCCCCCGTCCCCTCCCATTGGCCCAGCCCTTCCACCTCAGTTCTTCTCCCCATCCACTCTTCCTCAGCTCTCTCTCTCTCTCTCTGTATGTCTGTCTGTCTGTCTGTCTGTCAGTCTGTCTGTCTGTGTGTCTGTATGTGTGCTTGTCTCTCCCCTATGTGTCACTCTCTCTCTCTCTCTCTTCATGTGTGTGTCCTGGTATATCAGACTTGTTCTCTCTCTCTCTCTCTCTGTCTCTCTCTCTCGTTTTCACTCAATCTGTATATATATATATATATACACAACTATACGCGCTTCGATGTGCAACTATGCACATATATATATATATATATATATATATACTCGCAACAGGTACGGACGCCTCACGGCGGCCAGGCAGCAGAAACTGCACACATGTTGACGCAACGTCTTATCCTGTGATAGCTCTTGGGAAACAAATCCGAGGACCGAAACGTCCACGCTGACAGGTTGCCGGACCTTGGCGCATTTGGAATGCTACGAAACACCAGAGCTGCATTGAGACAGAGGGGGGAGGGCGGGAAGGGCGGGCCGGAGTTCGAGCCAAAGTAAACGCGAAGCGGTGCGGCCACCTCTAGATCCCTCCTCGTTTCTCGACGCCTCACGGCGGCCAGACAACGAGAACTGCACGAATATATGTGCAACATCTTTACCTGTACTCGAAAGGCAAAACTGAAGACGGAAACGTCCACGCTGGCAGCCATTGGAAATTGACACATCTGCAACGATACTGCACACCCATTCCCCAAACGGGTAGACTGACCCTGGCCGGAGGCCGTAGAGGCTATCCAACTACTGAAAAAATCCCGGAGCAAACAACACGACAGACATATCACCATTGATCGACATCGGATCCGCGAGCTTCACCCTACGCATTTTCTGGGATGAAACAGAGAGGGCGGCAGAAACAGCAGCAACGAACGGGCGAAGACACTCGGCCGCAAATGCCGTCCATTTGCCACCTCCGGGGGCCGCGCCAGACAATTCGACGCGGCCCTGAGGTGTCCGATAGCACGCGCCGTGCCGACCAGAGCATCTCCGCGAGTGCGGGGGAATCGAGCTGACATTCCAACTTTGACCGCGGGTGGCTTTCCTCCACCGCGTCCCGTACTGGCACACATGACAGACAGAGAAGCAGCTCTCTGAACCCTGACAAACACGCTTGAGGCGGGGAGTGACCCTGATCAGTTATTTCGTGCGGACTCTCGAGAAGCGCCGGGAGTGGTGGGCCTGGCGCAAAGCGATGACGCGACAGGTAAAATAGAAACACGCGTTCCCTATCTGTAGACGGGGCTGCTCGCTAGGGTTCAGACTGCGCTTTCCCACGGGGCCATCTTTGCCCCGCGGGGGCCGTCGGAGGGCCCTGGCCCGCGCGGTGCGCGCGACCCCGAGAACGACGCCCACGATCAGGTCACTCTTGCTACTCCCAGACACGATCTCTTCAAACGCGCAGCACAAGTGGCCCTCCGGAAGAACGCGCAGCAAATCGAAGGACAGGGCGGCGACGCCTAGGTCCTGAGGAACCTTGGACACATTCCTTTCCAGCGCCCCCCAACAAGTACGAAACGCAACGACTGTGCAAATGCATTTTGAAAGATAAATTGCAGCTGATCCCTCAGGAGCCTTCGCACATGACGCCTAACCTGAGCCGGCGATGCCGCGGCAGGCCAGCAGCGATCAATGCCTGGGCGCGCGCAGGGATCAACGCCCGCGCGGGCGGGGCGCACTGCGCGCCGGGGCCGAGCTGGATGACCCGCTCCAAGTCGGCGCGCGCCGCCCGCCCGGAAAGCGAAGGCCCACTCTGGCACCTTCGACGCGGCGCCGTGCAAGTGCGCCTCCTTCGCGCGCCGCTGCATGCTGCCTGGCGCCGCCCAGCGCCCGCGTCTCTGGACTCGCGCAAAGAACTCCCTGAAGTGCCCCCGGAGACAGGGCAGGGCGAAATCCCACAGGCCCTGCTCGAGGCCCGCGGCGGACCGCAACGCGGCGAGCAACGACCGGAGGTGTTGGTCGCGGTTGATCACCGCGCCCTCGACGTACAACCTCGCCCCCCCTGCTCGCCCCTCGCCTGACACGGGGTTGGCAGCGTGGCCCTGCCCCTCGCAGGGGCCGCGGCCATGGCGGCGGGATGGGCCAGCGACGCGCCGCGGAGGCCCTGGGTCTCGAGGCGGCTGAACGCGAGAGCCAGCTCGCCACGCGGCACCTCCCTCTGACGAGGAGCAAGCCCGCCTGCGCGACAGCGGCGAAGCGCGGCACGGGGGCCCTCCTCATGGGCATCTGCCACGCGATGGACCTTCTCACGGCGCGCGACAGCTGGGCCTTCTGCGAACTCAATAAGCCTGGCGCGATGCGCCTGGGCGCTGCCAGCAGCAACGATCCGTTGCTCGAAGGAGCCCCCAGCGCGAACCAGTGGCGCAGGAATTCGGAATACAGCGTCGCCGCCGCGCCCACCATGTCCGGGCCCTACCAGTCCAGTCGGTGGGCAGGCCGGGGCACGTCGAAGTCCGTCAGTGCTCTCCGACCGACACAGAACCTCTGCGTCCAGCCTGATCGCCAGCGCCCCCAGAGGGCCCCGCGGCGCCCGCGGCGGCCTCTCGGCCATCGGCCGCGCGGCCAGCGCAGCGCGACGAGCCCGGGCGCCGCGCGCGCCAGGGCTGGGCTGGGCGCCTCGCAAGTCGGCGCAGCATCGCTGGGCTGGCCGCGGCCGCAGGACTCCGCCAGGCCGTCGCGCTGGCCGCGAGGGGGCGCGCGGTCGGTGGCGCCAGACCCGCGCGCGGAACCCTCGGGACACAGCGTTGGCGGGATTGCGCTGCGACAGAATCCACCTGCGATGCATCCGACGACCCGCCTCCGAGGCGCGCAAGAAGCCTACGGGGCCTCGTCGACCCCGCGCGCCCGGTTGCGCTGGGAGCAGAGGCCTCGGATACCTTCTGCGAGCCTGCGGGGGTCTCCTGGGCGACGTCATGGTCGACGCGCGCGATGGGCCCCCCGGGCCCCCGAAGCCTTCGCGGGGGCCCCCTTCGTCGCGAGGTTCGACGCCAGGAGGGCGCGGGCTGGGGGCGGGCAAGGCGTGGGCTCTATCTCTAGCGCGCGCACCGCCTGCCGCTCGAGCCGCCAGCGCTCGCGCTGCCGGCCGCGCTGCGCGACGAGGCCGAGGGGCGCCCGGCGCCGGCGCGCCCCGAGACGCCCCCCGCCGGCGTCGCCCGCGACCGCGCACGCGGACCACGGCGCCACGGCGTCGGCCGCGAGCAGCGGCGGCAAGCGACGCCTCGCGCCCCATCGCGAAGGCCCGGGCCAAGACTGCACCCGCGCAAGATGTCTAAATCGCGAGCTGGATCGGAACGCTGGCCCAGTGCACAACAGCGCGGGGCGCCTTCTGGCACAAGTGCGGCTCAGGCGCAGCCATTGAAATTCACGTGTAGCTCAAGTCTAATTCAAGTGTAGTTCAAGTGTGGGTCAAGTGTAGTTCGAATCCAATTCGTATGTTTTTGAAGTGTAGTTCAGAAGTCAGTCGAATATAGTTCAAGTGTAGATCAAGTATGATTTGGGCGCATCTCTGCCAGTGCAAACGTAGAAACACTGTAGTTCAAAATCGCGCAGGTGCAATGGGGCAATGCAAGTGTGGCCCGGATGAAGGCATTGGTGCCGAAGTGTGATCCACGTGTAAATCAGGTCTGGTCCGGGTGTAGCTCAAGTGCAGTTCATGTGTAGTTCAGGTGTAGCGCAAGTGTAGTTCGAGTAAGGTTCCACTGTAGCTCAAGTTTGGAAGGTTGTATTCCATATGGATCAAGCGTGGTTCAAGTGTACTTCCAGTGCAGCCCAAGCGTGGTTCAAGCGTCGTCAATCGTAGTGATGATGCAGCCCTTGTAGTTCGAGTGCAGTTCAAACGTAGTTCGAGCGTGTTTCACGCGTGGCCTGCTCTACACTTAAAATAACGCGCGCCGCATCTCCGCTCCTGCCCGAGAGCAGCGATGCGGCGCGCGCGAAAATGTTCCGAATCGGCAGCGCTGAGCAACGCGCCCCAGAAACGCCAGCAACACGCCTTCCCGCCCTGCTGGAACTGGCTCAGGCAATATGAATATGCCCAGAGAATCACGGCTGCAGGGATGACTGCGCAGCGTGCTTCCACGCGCCTCGTAGCGCGCGGGGGCCAGGGAAACTGACTCGAGAACGCCGGAAACATGCGACGCAGTCTTCCAAGTCCCGTGCTCCGACCCAATTCGTCGCGCGCCCTCCGATCACGTTTGCCGCGCGGCTTTCTCCGGGCCCCCAGAGCTACGAAAGACGAGAGAGTTCAATGAAAGACCGCATGTCTGACCTGCTCTGTCGCGCAAGCCCGCGCCGCGCGGCCCGGCGGCCCCGCGGGTGGGCAGGCGGATGCCAGAGCGCACTGGCGAGCAGAACGCAGAGGCCGTGCGCGCAGCGGGACAGAGACAGGCTCGCGGAAGGCGGACGGGCGGGGGGAAAGCCCATTGGGGCAGGAGGGGGCAGGCGCGCAGCGGGAAAGATTCGCTGCGCGGGGCGTCGCGTTTCCTGCCCCTGAATACAAAAGGGGGCGGTGCAAATGATGCGCCGACACACGCGTAACGCTGGCCTTCCCGCGGAATGGTGCCGCGAAACGATCTCGCGCAAACTCCCCGACGTCTTTGCCGAACCCCCAGCGCAGCACTGCGGGGCGCCCTTCTGCGCGGGCGCGGACTGGCTACTGTCGCAGGGAGATGCCTAGCGGCATGATCAAGGATCTAGCGCTGGATGCACTTGGAAACCCGGCAGCGGCAGGATGCTGCTGGAATCCTGCGCTCTGCGGCATGGTCAA